CACTAACACAATTCTCTCCAGGATTACACACCAAAAAGAGGATTTCATGAAACAAATAATGAATCACTCTCAGAGTGATCTGGTCACATCATTATTTTTTTGGCACTAACAACCTAATGAGTTATATACTGTCAATCTGATCTTGTTATGGAGATTATCAGATTAATTTGAAATATACTTTCCAACATAAATTATTTAAAAGATAGATTACTAACAGTAAAATTATATCATCATCATTACATTGTAAAAATATGTTTCATTAAAGTTTCCTTTAAAAGGATGCTCCTTATCATATTAAATAATAGTTATTGATTATTTTGCAATGAGATAGCATCTCAAGGTAAATTTTGCAACAAAAATCCATTACTTACATGAGACATGACACATCAATCATTTACATAAGACTTCACACATCTATCACATCATAAGACATTACACGTCCATCACATATACGAGACATCACACATGTAAAAAAAAAAAAAATTCTGAAATTCAAAGCACAGAGATGCACTTTGACTTGTACCTATCTTTAGTTTTGCATCCCTCTACACTTACTCTGCAAACTGAATAAATGCTTGTGAAGAATTAAGTTCCCCCCCCCCCCCCCCCCCCCCCCCCTGTTTATTTACATCCTTTAATTTTAGTTGTTACTAAATAGTAGCATTGTTGTAAGACAACTAAATGCAATATAATTTTTAAAATCAGCCCAAAAGAGGGGCTGTCACATCAAAATTGTGCACACCATCACAAAAAAGTGATTTCAAATGTGCATTTATGCCAGGAATGAAACTAATCGCTAATGGAATAAAGAAATAAGTTCAACTGTGATACATCAGGCGGGCAACAATATTTAATGTGGTGGACGGTGGGTGGCCACCCCTACAGCAAGTCTAGAAGCCTGATTTTATTTTCCATTTATATTTATATATTGTAGTCTAGTAACTACCGAAGTCTGGGAGAAGGAAAGAGGATGTTTGGAATGAAACTGAGATATTAAAATTGTACAGCTGCTTTCTAGATCTTATTTTTAAAATGTCCAAATCTAACGCTGCCATGCGGAGTAGAACAGAATGCATTTTTAAGATGTCCAAATCTAACGCTACCATACGGAGAAGAACAGAATGCATTTTTTAAAAAAATAAAAGTTAAACCTGTTTCCTCCATCTGGTGCAATCGCCGTGGTAAAGCCAAAGAATGAAATCATTACATGAAAAAATTACGCCACACAGCGACAAATCAAACAAAAATAAATGTTGAGTAAATGTGTCCCTAGGGCGACTATCATTTTGAAAACACAACAATAGGATGATTGGCACCATTATTACGAAATGAGGACGGTCTTATTTTACAGCCTTTAAAAAATATTTCGACATTCCACCCAACACCTCCCATCATCCGGTCCACCCAACACCTCCCATCATCCGGTCCACCCAAAACCTGGTCCACTCGTGAGTCAACCCCACACCCCTTTTCCCCTCTCAGTGCGTATGCAATTTAATCATGAATGGGATGGTGCCCACCAATCCAATTTAATCATGGATGGGATGGTGCCCAACCAATCAAATTTAATCATAGATAGGATGGTGCCCAACCAATCCAATTTAATCATAGATGGGATGGTGCCCAACCAATCAAATTTAATCATGGATGGGATGGTGCCCACCAATCCAATCATGGATGGGATGGTGCCCAACCAATCAAATTTAATCATAGATGGGATTATGCCCAACCAATCCAATTTAATCATGGATTGGATGGTGCCCAACCAATCCATTCACAGATAGATGAAGAAAAGAGCAGCAACCATAATTTTTTTTTTAAACCCAAAAACTACTTGAATATATTTTTGTTAACCTGGTCCCTCAAAATGGTCGTTCTGACAGCTCTCTGCATACATTTGTAAAAAAACATCTCAAAATCATACACAACATGCCAAAATGGTAAGAGTAACCAGGTCTGCACTTACATGTGACATCAAACAACACTGAGACATCACACATCCATCACATATTAGAGACATGTTACAAAGTCATAACTAAAACAATATTTCAATATGGTGAGAGCCCCTAGACTCAAACATAAGTCAATATGAGAACCTCTAGACTCAAGCATAAGTCAATAACTTTTCTAAGAAAACCTGGAACATAATGAAAGTACCAAGTTCAATTATGTTGAATGGCTGGCACTCTTTGTACAAAAGGTGTACTGTACTAACTATAACTTCCTGGCCACTTTAGTCATAAAGAAGCCATTGAAAAAAATACCAAAATGGCTGAGACTATTTCTTTAATCACAAAATGGTATTGAAATTTGACTTTAAAAAATGATTTACCAAACACTCTAGACTCAAAAAAAATATTGTTCCCAAGCATTGATTGAGTCTTCACCTAATAGTCTTTAAAAAACAATAAACTTTGTTACAAACAAATAGAAATGTATCATTGGAAACTTGTATTTTATACACATACAATTTAAAGTGATATGTGGTACTCACAAGTTGTAAAGTCTTGCCAGTGACAATGTAAAAGTTATAAATGGTATAAATAATAAATTTCGTTAAAGTGATATGTGATACACCGTAATTGGTTTCAACCTTGTTATTATGTAAGTATATACGTCAAATAAATGTGTTACAAAACTCACAACGCTATCAAATCTTGCCAAGACAGTGCACTCAGGTCAATGTAATATGTAAAAAAAATTTCAATAAAGTTATATGTCATACACATCTAAGTTGTCACACTATGTACGTGTCTAGATATGATTTAATTTGTCACACTATGTACGTGTTTTAAAATGGTTTAAGTTGTTACACTATGTGCGTGTCTTGATATGGTTTATCTCATCAACATTGGTAACAAAAGAACAGGGGAAAAAAGTAAAAATTTGTAGTTTAAATAAAATAAGTACACATGCTAGTCACTCTCTCAACCTCATGGTCATTTACATAAAAATATTCAAATTAGATTTACTTTTTAAAGCTAAACAACATGAAACTAAACAGCTAGTAAGAAATGATCCACTTTTTAACAGTGATTGTCATTAGTAGATCAACACCTTCTACCAGCTGTACATCTTGAATGATTGAAAGAGAGCCCCAAACAGGAGAAACTCTCGAACCCTCATTCCATTTATATTGAAACCTGATTAGAGGCTTTTAGTTAATCTCAATGATCCTAAGGTTTCTTATCAGTCAGTTCACATCATCATTATGTTGAGTAGAAATGGTGAGACAAAAATGACATTTATTCATTTAGTCATGATGCTGCTCAAAATTCATGTAAGTTCACAACAATTTTTATAGTTGATCTAACATATACATTTTACAAAGGGGTAGGGCAAAAAGACTCAGAAAGATACTGATCATAATATATGTCTATATTTGCTATATTAAAAGACATTTTACTTAGGGCAAAAAGACTCAGAAAGGTACTGATCATAAAAGCTCTAGATTTGCTATATTAGAAGACATCTTAAACATGCTTTCTGGGGTGGTGTATCTAACAAATAGGTTAAAAACTCTGATTATAAATAAGGGTCAAGTTCATCGGGATAATTTAGTGGTACAATGGAAATATTTTCATTAGGGCAATTCATCGCTTTACAGTAATGATAAATTAGATAGTTAATTTAATTAGAACATAATAATAATAGTAAAACATAAACACAATTAAATAGCATTAACCATTAGAAAATGTTGCTAAATCTGACACACTCATGAAAGGAAAACAAACATAATAACAATAAAATGAAATCACTTGACAGACACTCAAAAGAATGTTTGTCATCACAGACCGTCAGTCTCTGAAATCAAATAATTTGAGCAAGAAAAAAAAATAATAAAAAAAACAAAATCATTGTTTTATAGTTGATCCACTGCAAAGTCGAGCAAAAGTTATCGTACGTGTCATTGTCACGCAGAGTAAAAATTACAAAAAAATAAAATGACACCACCAAATTTTGGAATGATAACCATAGGAGATCTTTGCAAACATAGAACATGATTTACTCAAGTTTAGCATAAAGGACCTGTGCCAACAAGCAAACTGGCCAGCCCAAAAATTGGGGGGAGAAAATCCAATCCCTTTCTCTGGGAGTGGGGTGAAGGGAGTTAGCTCTCCTTAGGATGTAACCGGTCTGGAAATGGTTGTAGTAGATATTAAAATTTATATTGCATGGATTTTTCTCTGCTCTTTCTTACGCATGGTGAAGTTCTAAAATTTACTTCTATGATTTTAATATGTAGCTGTTGGCAAATAATTCAGAAATTTTAACTTTTATTCCTCAAATTCATTTTCAGCAAGTTTCATCGATCAATAAAATGATATGTATTTATATTAACATTTTGTTTTAACTGTTTTCACATAAATCAAGGACTTGTTTTCAACTAGTGCACATTATTATCACTATGGCTACAGGACATTTTATCTTTCACATCAGTATCTGATTGATCAATCTATTGACTTGATTATTTAAAAACAATTTGCATTTAGTAAACAATCTGTGAAAGTGAATTCATGTTTTGTTAAAAGAGTTCCTCTAATTCTATTCGGACTTATTTTCAAGAAGACACAGATTATGATAGAATTATGAAATCTATGATAAAATTTTAGTAGATTAATAACTGTCTTAATGTGTCAAGTTACTGTGCAATGCTATTCAAGTGGATCATGTTATGTGCTTGTGAGGAAATTATATAAAATGAGTAAAACAGAGTAGGGTTAAACCTGAAAAAAGACGCGTAACAAAACAACGAACGTGTCGGCAGAAAGCCTTCGTCAGCGAACGAAACAACAGAAAAAGGGGTATAAAAGTAAAAATAAGAAATAGCACTTAGCTTGGAAGTAGTATCTGTGGGCCTCAAAAGAAATGAGGCCCACTTATACTACTTCCAAGCTAAGTGCTATTTCTTATTTTTACTTTTATACCCCTTTTTCTGTTGTTTCGTTCGCTGACGAAGGCTTTCTGCCGACACGTTCGTTGTTTTGTTACGCGTCTTTTTTCAGGTTTAACCCTACTCTGTTTTACTCATTTTATATTGTGCTAACTTGATTGCAGTCTCTCCCCTTATTACCCTGTGAGGAAATGCCAGGAATTCTCAGTGAGATGAACTTTACAAATAGAAGAAAAAGGGCTTTTAAGGTTAAATAACTAGAACTATTTCATTAAAGTTAAATAACTAGAACAATTTCATTTAGATTAAATAACTAGAGCTACTGCATTAAGATTAATGGCAAATACTATTTCCTTTTTTCTTTACACCAGTGGCTAAGAAATGAGAGTCATGTTCCCTCTATACTAAATGATGGCAAAAGTCTTAGCTACATCAGAGTTTAATGTAACATTTTTACCATCAGTAAATACCATTCTTAAAGCCGGCCATTGGATGGTTTTCAAACTTTTCCCTTGGTAGAGCAAAGCCTGGAAATTTTATCTCTATGTCTTTTCTGGCAAAGTTCTGTAGAGGCAGATGGACAGGACCAATTCAACCAGCTGTTGGACAATATAGAAAACAGGATTGGATGGCATTTAATGAAATATCATAATTTGTACTACAGGATAATAAAATAATAAAGCAAACCACGTCCGGAAAAAATATCAGCATATTATAGAAAAATGACAAACTCACTAGCCTCACATCCCCCCACACTTTAAAAAAATGTTTATGCTAAGTCTTGCATCACTGCAAAAATTAAAATTCATTTTAAATAAACTTTGGAAATGACACCCAAAAAAAACCCTCTGACTTCTGACACCAATTTAAATGTTACTGAAGAGTTAACTAGTGCATATAAACACTTTTATTGTGACTTAAAAGTCAAATTCTTTTGTTGTTAACTCATTAGCTACCAGAGTGAAAAAACGGTGTGGCTGAATTAAATGTAGGTCACATTTTCCCCACATGCAAGTCTATGTACGAAGAAGTCATTTGCCTTTTTCTTTGTATTAAATATTATCAATAAATATAAATAAATATATTAAATATTCTACTTATTAAGATATTTGTATAAGTAATACACCACTTTGTAGGGAAATGAATATTTTTAAAGTTAAATTTACAACAATTTATTAAAATATTGTTAACCCATTATTTACGAGAGAAAAGCATTAAAATTTTATGTTAATCATATAATATGTAAACGCATCTACACCAAATTAGAAAAGGTTTCCAAATTTATATGAATCAGCAATAGAATAAATATATCCCCAACTTATTTACAGTATGTTTTTTTTCGGTACCCAGTCATCTTATTGCTATTTGCCATGAAAAAAACTCGCTAGCTTCCCTCAAAAATACAATAAATATGACAAATAATAAATTTTTTTTTTTACATTGTAACTTTTCCGTGTGGTATTTAATTAATTTCCTGCAGCTAATGGTCGTTAATCAGTTAACGAAGTGGCTATTCGGACCCAGGTCTGAGAAGTGAGAGGTTGAGATTAAAATTTTAAAAAAATATTATTGTTAGGTTTTAAGACAAAATTTTGTATCAAATGAAAGATAATTGAATGGACTATATGTTTGTAAACTTAATTCTTCAGTTTAACTAAAATAAACTACCACAAATGATATCGGAATACCATTGAGTCTAAAGGGACCCGGGGTCGAATAGCGGTGATGCGTTTCCAGTTCCTTTTGTGTCAATGCTATTCGGATGTCATTTGTGGTAGTTTATTTTAGTTAAACTGAAGAAGTAAGTTTACAAACATATAGTTCATTCATTTATCTTTCATTTGATACCAAATTTTTGTCTTACAAGCCCTACAATAATTTTAAAGATTTTTTCATAAACCCAATCTATAACTTCTCGGAACCGGGTCCGAATAGCCGCAGCCATCAGTTAAATCACTTTTCCCTAAAAATGCTACCTGGCAACCCCTGGTAGGGACAATCTGAATCTAAATGACGGGCATGAGAAAAAACAACATGAACAAAAAAGCATGGTTTCTGTGTAGTACAACTAAAATGCTGCCCCACAAAAATGTTCCACCAGAGTGGACAGCCCCCCCCTCCCCGCCTTCCCCCCACTCCCTAACTTAGGTGGTGCTCTGTAAATTAAATCAAACAACATAATGACACCTGAAATGATAAAATATATAAGGACAAACTCACCATAAAAAGTCCTACAACAATGGCAGTTGTCCCAATGACAATCCCTGTACGTCGCAAGTACGGGTCTAGTGCATCAAAGCAGCCCTGAACACAAATGAGAAATGGTAAAACAGCATTCAAGCTGTGTGAAGGAAAAAGAAGAACAAGGTATGTGGAAGCTCGAAATCAAAAGACTGGACAATAAGATATGAACGTTTCGGCTTAGAGTCTTCCTCAGCAGGCAGGACAAATTAAAATATGACAAGTAATAGAGGACAGTTAAAAACTTCGGGGATCGCTATTGAAACCAATAATTTTAACAAGGTGCCCAACTCTTCTAAAATAATTAATTATATTTGTTGTATTTGTACAATTTTAAAAGATGCATCACATTTGCACTTTTAAATGACAAACACTTCTAGTTAATACAATATCACAAAACAGGGAAATATATTTTGAATTTCTCACCTTTGTGAACAGTGTATAGTTTCTCTTGGATGGATCATCAGATAGTGGAGGCTTCCATCTGGGTGGACTACCAACTGTTGAATTTAACACACCAGTACACTGAAGAATGTTTACCTCCTGGTCTTTGCAGCAACTAGCCGGCACATAACTACCATCTGAAATGGTACATCATAAAACTTATTGCAACATAATGATTAAAGTTGTAAGTTGCCATATACAGCAATCCCATGTCTATCGCCGGGGTTAGGTTGCAAAACTACCCGGGATAGGTGAAAATTCTGAAAAGTAGTGGTCTTATATTTAATTTATTATTTATATATTTATTAAACCTTCTAACACTCTTAAAAATCTTTACCACACTGTTATAAACACTTCCTATGTTCTTAAACACTTTCTACACTCTTGAACAGTTCCTATGTTCTTAAACACTTTCTACACTCTTAAACACTTCCTATGTACTTAAACACTTTCTACACTCTTAAACACTTCCTATGTTCTTAAACATTCTACACTCTTAAACACTTCCTATGTTCTTAAACACTTTCTGCACTCTTAAACACTTCCTGTGTACTTAAACATTTTCTACACTCTTAAACACTTTTTATGTACTTAAACACTTTCTACAATCTTAAACACTTCCTATGTTCTTAAACACTTTCTACACTCTTAAACACTTCATACACTCTTAAACACTTCCTATGTTCTTAAACACTTTCTACACTCTTAAACACTTCCTATGTTCTTAAACACTCTCTACACTCTTAAACACTTCCTATGTTCTTAGACACTTTCTACACTCTTAAACACTTTCTTTGCTCTTCAGCACTTTCTACACTCTTGAACACTTTCTATGTTCTTAAACACTTTCTGCACTCTTTAACTTGCAACTTCATCTATTCATCTGCTTTAGGCTACATATTTTAATCAGAATTTTAATATTCCTTCAAAATGTTTTGATTAATGTTTTTATATTGTTTATTTTTAACAATATTAATTAAAATAAAGAGTATATAAAAATACATATATACCGCAGAATTCAGCACAATATCCAAAAATCAGTGTCCAAAAATACAAGTAAAATATCTGCTAAACACTGAGATCCCAAAAAGTGAACCCATGATAAGCGAGGAATCCCTTCACACTCATTCAAAAGCAGACTTCGGGAATTATTTCCAGGATAATGAGCAGGTCATTGTAGATTTTTATCAGTTTCTCTTGTTCATTGATTCAATCATCGAAAACAATGACAAAAAATGTAATTAGCTGAGGTCAACTCAAAACCCTGTACCAAATAGGGTCACACGTTTTGTCCTCATTTAGCTCTTGCCGTCATTGGATGTGCTTAGATGGTAGTAAAGCACCTACATTCAATAAAAGGTGCGGGGTGGCCAAGCGGTCTGAACTGATTGAATCCCAAACCTGTGGACTGGAGTTCAATCCCCCCAAAAAAGCCGAGACAAGCAAAAACAACAACAGCACCCCGGGTGGATGGGACTTGTAAAACTTGGATTGGTGACTCATCTAAGACTATGAGAAGGTAAACTCTGAAGTCAAACCCAGAGATGGAGTCCCATATGTGGCAGGACATTGACACAATGAAAATTCCAACAACTACAGTGAAGTGGAACCCATAAAAGCACAGTGAGACACAAGACACATTGTTGGTCATCCACTGCATCCTGATCTATTTCAAGTACCCTCGACGAAGTCTTGCCATTGGAACAGATAAGCAAGGACGAGAGAGTGAGGCTGACCAATTGAAAATCTCTCCTTCACTTTAATCAAACTACAGCTCAAGTCAATGCTACTACTCAAGTCAAAGGCTTGGTCATCTTTGCATGTGAAGTATTAAAAATAATAACACTGAATAATGAAATGCCAAACTGTCATAATTTATATTATAGTAGCAGCAGTTGAAATCTATTTTTTAGAATGGTATCAGATCCTGACCCACAAGCTTGTTAATTTTTATCTACAGCAGAGCGCATCCATGCAACAGGGCAACCACATATTTCTTCCCAAAAAGCAGTCATGAATTTTTGGAAATATTTCATATGGTTAGACATGCAAAGTGACTATCTTTTTTTACATTCCACTGTATGTTTTTTACTTTTTAATTGTTTTACTTACACAATCTTTTCAGGCCGTCTCAACCAAATCGAAGGGGTCAGCTTATGAACAAGGATGTATGGTAATAATAAATCAAAATTAAAATATTTTAATAAATTTAATTTTCTGTGATCAACAAATTTTATTATACACATTTCTATATGCAACACTTACTGTTGGCATGCGTGTTGAACCATTCACTTCGTTGATATATGTACCAGGAATTCAGAGAGTCTTGGTCCCCGTTAACACCGCAACACTCAAACTTGAAAAATATAAGAAAATAATAAACATTAGTAAACAGGTCTAGAAGTGAAATGGAAACGGAAAAAGCCCGAATTATACTATATATATTTTTCATTATTACGTTGATGTTTCAGCTTGTGACGCCACATAATTCTCTACACACTCATTATCTGCCTCGTGTTAAAATGTATCTGTAACCTATATTGGTTAAATTATTTGTGTAATTTAAGTAAAATTTTTATTAACTTCAAATAATAAATGTACAAAATTTCTAGACAAGATTTTTACTTAGATATTAAGCTTATTTGTCTACTATTTGTCTACTCACCCCTTGCTGTACTGTGTCCCAGGCATTTGTTATGATTTGGTTGCTGGTGCTTTTAACACTGTCAATACCATAATTATTTATAACAGCGTGCTCCATTTTTTCCCTTACTTTATCTTCCAACTGAAGATTAAATTTCAAGAAAAATAAGTTCATTATTTTCTTTACTTGTGTTTTTAAATGCAAAAATAAATTTTTAATTTAAAAAAAAAATATATATTTATATAGATAAGTATATTTAAAAATATGCAAATAACTCTAGTCAAGCCAATCAATGCCTCTAATTTAACTAAATAATTAAAAAGTAATTTGTATGTTCTGGCATTGACAACTAATACTTACCTCACTGACTAGGACGTAGCCCAAGACTCCTGCAACAAACAACATGACAGACATGAAGGCAAGCAGGCCCAGGTGCTGAAATAACAAAGGTTTTATTTAGTTGGCATAAAAAATAATATTCAGATAACAGCTTAACTCATTCCCAATGGTTGCAGCTATAAGATTTCCCAGGGAGTTGTGACAGATGTGTCCAAATGCATTCTGGTGCACAGTGACACACCTCAATCATTTTAATTTTAAAACAGCAACCAAGACCTCCGGTGATGGCATGATTCAATATTTCAATTTTAAAAAAGGGAAGTTTTTATCTTGTCTCACTATTAATCTATGTATGCTTTAGTAAGGTGCATCATTATGTAGCATGTGTTCATCTGAGGTGACAAAAATCAATATATTGGTAATTGTTTGTTATTTGTTCGCTGTTAATGTTATATTTTTTTTATTAAACCTACTTCATTTTGTTTTGGGATGCATTTATCATTAATTTTTTAATATTAGTTAATATTTAGCAGCTAAAAATAAAAAAATGGCAAAACAGTGTTATTTCACATTGTTCAGGAATACAAATTAAGTAAGGAATTAAGTAAGGAAATAGCACTGAAGTCAGGAATGAGTTAAATATTCATGAAACTACACTAAAGAAATAAAAATCAACATTTATATGACTTGTGGGTAACATAAAAACAATTACCAATCCCAGCAAGCATCTGTATTCTTTGAGCACCCCCAGGATGCCAATGATAGTGATGGCTATGATGGCACTGCCACCTATGATCATCAAGTAGGAGTCCACCTTGTAGATCTGGGCATTGATCAGTTCTGAAACCTGCTTGTTACCATACTCTGCTTCCAAAGTCCATATCCCTATTCCAAGAATACTTATGGCACCAACCTTAAAAAAATTATCATTCTTTTTTTAAGATTAGACTAAAAATGTCTGATTAAAATTTCCATCATTAATACTGTTTCAAGCAATGTGTAGAATTTTCATTGCATAAACTAACCCCAAAAAATTAATTTAAAAAACTGTTGAGGAAAAATTTTGTATTTAGATGAGATTATAAAAATATTGGTACTTTTCAAAGAATAAAAGATGCATCATCATCATCATATTTACTGCATTAAATTTAACACACAAAATAGAAGCATTGGTGTTAAACGTCAACTTAATACAAATGTAACATCTATTTTTTTGCTTTGCTGGTTTAAAAACATTATATTGTACCCCATATTATAAAAGATAAAGGTCAGTTAATTCAATATCTAATCTATTTCCCGAGGGAAAGAATGTAAAATAACTAAAGAAGCAAGCTTTAAGCCTTACCAGAACAATGGCAAGAAAGCACATCAGTGCAAACCTAATACCTCGAATAACTTGAGGATTAAGTGCTTTTGGACTGTCGTCCATATCATACAACTCGTAGGCCATGCTGGAATCTACACTGAGACTTTGAAGGAATGTACGAGTAAGACGCATTGCAGATCACTTCCACTTGATCTCCACTGTGACCTGGTAAAGAGAGTTTAAAAAATGTTATTGATTTATTTCAGAATTTCAATTTAACCATGACCATGTTGACATTTTATTTTAGGCCTTCAATTTAACCATGTTGACAGTTTATTTTAGGCCCTCAATTTAACCATGTCAGTTTATTTTATGCCTTAAATTTAACCATGTTGACAGTTTATTTTAGGCCCTCAATTTAACCATGTCAGTTTATTTTATGCCTTCAACTAAACCATGTCGTCAGTTTATTCCCATTTGATTTGAAGTAATACACATTAATTAGGCCTACAGTGATTATAAGAATCTTTCAATCAGGCTGGCTTGTGATCTATGTCTTAAAGTTATCTATTCCAATTTTCAATAGGTCACTCACCGTTACCTATTAAGTTATTTTTGTTAAAACAATCCAGCAGTTCAGTATGTCTGTAAAAAATACTTCATTTTAAAAGAAATTTCTAAATAAGTATTACAGTATACATCAATGTTCCCTTTAAGCTGCGCGGCTGCGCAGTAATCTCACAGGCGCCGTGCAGCAGTTTTGAGTACCACGCAGATAATTTCCACTTAAGTGTGTGTTTGTGTCTGTAGGCTGTAAAATTTTGCGCACAAAAAAATTGAAGCTGTAAAAATTTGCGCACAACTTTATGATTTTTCACACAAACCAACAAACCTTAGAGGGAACATTGGTATACATATATTATTGCGATGCTAATTTGGATTATTTTTTCTTTTAGTTGTGTCATTTATATCAGCTGTACTCAATTTTTCCAACTTCTAGTTTAAACACACAAAAATGCTATAGTTTCAAGAAATGACAAACATACACTGCAAATAATTTTATTTTTGTTAAAAAAGCAATAATATAAACACTAATGTTCCAGCAGGGGCTATACACCCCCCACCCCCCTCTTTTCAACCAACCACCTTGTTTTTTTCCTTCTAGGCCTAGGCTTGGATACAAAATTTTAAAAAATTCAAATAATTTTTTTAATAGCACAGTTAGTTAGAGCTAATTTCAAATAAAAAAATGAAACCAGAATCAACTTTTTAGCTTAAGTACTTTTTGAGCTATGAATTTTTAAAGTGTGAGTTCGTTTGGTATTTTTTACTATGGACGAAACCTCCACATCTTGTGACCTCATTCCGCTGATCGCGTCATGCGCAATGACTATATACTTTATATAAGGCAACGCATCGCCTTATCACTAAAATACTGTTTAGGGTCGACTTAGTTTAAACTTTCAACTTTGGCACATGAATAATTAATTAAAGCTTTCCCTGACCAATGGTATAGTAGTTTTTGCACACGGCAAACTCTTATGAATGAAACTCTGAGGTAGTACTACGATACAGCCGTTATGCAAGTGGCTGTGAATGGTTGCCAATGACAACGTGTTGCACACGGTAAATTTTGATCATTTATAATATGGATTCTACCGGGTTGTTAAAGCTCAAATTAAAACATTCCAGTTTAAATGTCTTCAAAATGCATTCTGAAACACAAGTTATCAATTATTTTGATGTAGATAGTGGTAATAATATAAGGCAACGCATCGCCTTATCACTAAAATACTGTTTAGGGTCGACTTAGTTTAAACTTTCAACTTTGGCACATGAATAATTAATTAAAGCTTTCCCTGACCAATGGTATAGTAGTTTTTGCACACGGCAAACTCTTATGAATGAAACTCTGAGGTAGTACTACGATACAGCCATTATGCAAGTGGCTGTGAATGGTTGCCAATGACAACGTGTTGCACACGGTAAATTCTGATCATTTATAATATGGAATCTACCGGGTTGTTAAAGCTCAAATTAAAACATTCCAGTTTAAATGTCTTCAAAATGCATTCTGAAACACAAGTTATCAATTATTTTGACGTAGATAGTGGTAATAAATTAATATTTCCTAAGTATCGGCAACTTCCGCCATTACAAAGGGGGCGTGGCCCACCCCATGGCGAAATTAGGTTGAGCGAGCTGCATGACCTGCTGCGAACGCGTAGAAACATAGCGTCTCTCGTAAGACACTTATCGCTGTGAAAATTGGCATACATGTAGATCAATAGATTCCCCAGATGCAAAAAAAATTTGGTAGTGACAAATTTTTTCCTTCGACTTAATTTTAATGATGAAAGTTGCCTTATATTTACCAAGGATTTTCTCAAAGCTGACTGATTGTAAATGAAAAAGAAATTGATTAAAATGTAGGCCAAGATGTCTACCTAATTATAAGGCCGAAAACGGAACTCAAATATATATCGAAAATACTAATTTAATAATAAATAGACACACACATCGGAAAATTAAAAACTCGGATTTTTTGGCGCCGATTGCGAAATCCCATACACAAAAAGTAGTAGTCTCCCTTGACTTACCGAAGTATCTACACTAGGCTAAGGTTCCCAACTATATTATTCTATAGGTTTTGATAGGCTACCTAGTAAGTATTTCACATTTCTAACTACTGTTCAACTGAGACAGCTCTCTTTGAGTTAGTGTCTATACTATTTTAGTATGTATTACTCTACTGTGTTGTCCTCCAATCATGTCATAATTAAGGGCTACACTTTGAAATCGCGCCCTCGCTCGTCTATGACAATAATGATTTGTAATAATTCTGTGACATTGTGTATAAGTTTCGAGTATATAATATTAACGTAGTAGGGGGCCCAACAGATGTACAAGTTTGGAACAATTAATAAATCACGTAGGCCTAATGTATCTCACTATGGAATTTAGTCCTCCTCAGACTAAGGAACCAGCTTTGCCTTGGTAGCCATTTATAAACAAAATATAGAAAACCAGGTGTTTTACTCAAACAAGGCCAAAAAGAATATTATTAAATTATCACTCATTTTTAATTTTTAGATGGGGAAAAATTCAAAACGATAAAAATCATTAAATTTTCATCACTGAATTATCCCAAAATAATAAATGAATTACTAACAAATATATCATTTAAACAGTGAAGCTTTCTAGAATGATATTTGGCTTTATTTGACTTTATTAGATAAGTAAGAATCAAAAGATTATAAATTATGGCAAGGCCGAATTTTAAACACCTACCTCGATATGTATATGAAAATTACTAATTTAGATCTCCCATAAATAAGTGAAAAAATATTTTTTTTAAAATCCTTTTCCATTTAAGAAGGATTTATTTCATATAATCATTCAATACAAACGATTTCCACTTATTCAAAAGACCGAGCTGTTAAATTGATATATAATTTTCAATACCCGGTGGCGGTATAAGTTGGCCTATGGTTGCCTAGACCTAAATTTAATAATAGGCGGTTATCGACTTTTTCTGCTGTTGTATTTAATATTGTTGTCCAGTCAATAACAATGTAACAAATTAAAAATCTCCCAGCTGTTTCCTATAGCGGTACTATAGAGAGCAATATTTGTTATAATAGCCAACTTGCTTTACAAACGAAAATATTGGCCAGTTATTAAATAATTTAGAAAGTAGCCTATCATTCGACTTACCACTTAGATTGTTTCCGCTACCTACAAAGTGTGCCGCCCGACGCATGTTATGACTGACAGTTATTGCGCAGGCCTAAATGCTATTACTATGATAGGTCTTATAATTATGTCAATGCGTATGATTTGGCCTGTCATCTGTCTACTCCGATAATCTCCAGATCTTTTAAGACCTACTGACTCATCATTCATAGTCACTCATATCATGTGATATATTGTAGACCCAGTGTGAGTGATGTAGCTAATGATGCTATATTGTAGACCTAGTGTGAGTGATGTAGCTAATGATGCTATATTGTAGACCCAGTGTGAGTACTGAAGCTAATGATGCTATATTGTCAATATTGTAGACCTCGTGTGAGTACTGCAGCTAATGATGCTATATTGTCAATATTGTAGACCCAGTGTGAGTACTGAAGCTAATGATGCTATATTGTCAATATTGTAGACCCACTGTGAGTACTGCAGCTAATTATGCTATATTGTCAATATTGTAGACCCAGTGTGAGTACTGAAGCTAATGATGCTATATTGTCAATATTGTAGACCCAGTGTGAGTACTGAAGCTAATGATGCTATATTGTCAATATTGTAGACCCAGTGTGAGTACTGCAGCTAATGATGCTATATTGTCAATATAGTAGACCCAGTGTGAGTACTGCAGCTAATGATGCTATATTGTCAATATTGTAGACCCAGTGTGAGTACTGAAGCTAATGATGCTATATTGTCAATATTGTAGACCCAGTGTGAGTACTGCAGCTAATGATGCTATATTGTCAAGCTAATGATGCTATATTGTCAATATTGTAGACCCAGTGTGAGTACTGAAGCTAATGATGCTATGTTGTAGACCCAGTGTGGGTGCTGCAGGCAGCTAATAATGCTATATTGTAGACCCAGTGTAAGTGCTAAAGCTAATGATGCTATATTGTAGACCCAGTGGGAGTGCTGCAGCTAATAATGCTATATTGTAGACCCAGTGCGAGTGCTGCAGCTAATAATGCTATATTGTAAACCCAGTGTGAGTCCTGAAGCCAATGATGCTAAATATCAATATCGTAGACTCAGTGTGAGTGCTGCAGCTAATGATGCTATATTGTAGACCCAGTGTGAGTGCTGTAGCTAATGCTATATTGTAGACCCAGTGCTGTAGCTAGAGTTAGTGCCACTGAAGGGGGGGGGGGGGCAAGAATTTTCCCGCTCTCTCCCAAAAGAAAAAACTATGCAGTTGGCAGAAAAAGCCACCCTTCAATATAAAGAAAAAAGTACCCCACGGGGTGGACTGCACCCCCCCCCCCTTCTAATGCCAGCGTATACACCTAAATTTAACGCATAATACAATATACAGTATGATGCATGGTATGAATAAAACAATTATATATTTTTTTACATAATTGGCACTTTGAAATTAATCTCTCTTGACAATTAAATTTGTTGTCGCTCTCTATACCTTATGCATAACCAAATCTATTTTTTTTCCCTGATGTACTTTACAAACTGGTTCACAAGGACATAAAATACTAATTTTTTTAATAGTAAACATGTAAAAGTTTCTCAATGTGGTGTCATCTTTGGTGCTGTAAAAAATGTTTGTTAACATATGTGTGCTTCATTTTTGTGTGACTTAGAATGCCTTGGTGCCCCCTTGCAAGCCTAAACTAATTAGTAAGATGAGAGCCCTAATGAATGATAATGTTATGAATTAACAATAAAATAAAGAGATCATAATTTAATATTATGAAGTTAGGACATTACTTGAAAGAATTATGTCATTCAATAAAAAATAACAAAAAAGATAATAATACAATGGCAACAATTTTGTGTAACCAAATAAACTTTAATATTGCTACAATTCCGAATGCTTTTGTTCATTCTAAGCACTAATAGTTATGCATCTGTGCATCAGACAATGAAAGTGTAACGATACAAAGCTGTAACAGTTTATACCATAAATATGCATATTTCTTTAGTACTGAGGTGGCCATTTAAAATATAAACAACATAAGATGGATTCCATTACAGTGGACACAGTTCACAATATGTGTTAAGTTTTATGCTATAATACACCTTGCATTAGTTTTTAATGCTTAATTTAACATTGCATTTATTCAAACATTGTTATTTCTGACCAAGTTTGTTAAGCCAGTTACTCATCCAGCTGACACATTAACGCTAAACCTCTGCAAACCCAGTGATCCTGCGGCTTGTCAGAGGGGATTAAAATGGCCATTACGTAGTTGGTGGAGTGACCAGTAGTGGACAGTGTGCCTCTCCTCTCACTGGTCTTATACACTGGACACTCATACACATTGACTGGGTTCAAGTCTGCTTTCTTTATTGGCTTCAACCACATCTGAAATATTATTTGAAAAAAGTTTGGAAACTTGTCTATGCCAGATTGTATGGTCCAAATAGATAAGATATTAATGGAAATCTTCAGTTAAAATTGTAGTGAAGTTACATTATTAATTATTAACCTTTTATTTCCCAAATAACCTGTCGTAATTTCTTTTAGATTAATGGCAACTGTGTTAACCAACTAATAATTGCAACATTTTCATCCTTGCTTACCACTGGAACGCTGTCATACAGAATTTTGGGAAAAGATTCATTTAGAACTTTCTTTTGTCTGTCCCACCTGGCTCCTTCTAAAAATAGTCCGTACACATAAACACCTGTCAAAAAAAAAAATTAGACAAATATTTTACTCACATCTGTGGCAATGTACAATATAAGCACCTCAATTAATGTGCTGATTGTTTTATTGTAAACATTCCGACTTCAGGGGAAGAGCCCGTTAGACTACTGAACAAGTTTTGTCATTTTTAATATTGCACTTCCTGGATTGTCAGATATCAAGTATACTTCTTTCAATCCCTGTGGCTTTGGCCTGCCTCACCACTTCCTTCCACTCAGACTAAATTAATTCTTTTCTATGCTTGGTGGTCAAGCTGCTGTAGATCTTTTTCCATCCATCTAAGCCTAGGTCTGACTTTGAAGTATAGTTGAACAAAAATTATACAGTTCTAGCAAAGTGCTAACGTAAGTGTTCAATAAGGATGATGGCGAGTGGAGTGTGTTGTATGTGTGCGTGTGTGACACACTTTTAACAACCTTGCTCGCAGTACCAAAAATGTAGTAGTGTGCAGGTCCTTAGGTACTGGTTGGTGATGGTGATTGTTTGAACCAAGTTTGACACTGACAGTTACTCATTAAAAAATTGAAGAAATTCAGGTCTTGAGGACTATAGCTTTATTACTAATCTACAGGAAAAGTTGACTATGACGAAAAAGGTCCTAAGGAAAAGTCTTAAGAAAATGCCAGAGAAAAAGTCTACTATGAAGAAAAAGTAAAGAAAAAGGACCATATAGAGCGTTCCAATGGGCCGCACTGAACAATGGCACACTGCAGGGATGCTGTCCAATCTCGAATGACCCCCTTCTTAGTGTGCACCCCTTTATAAAGCCGTGCGCGGACATATAAGAGAGCCCTCTGTCACGCCGAAACCAAGCCGGTCAACGCTTTGCCTTCTGGCCGATTTCCTTGAGTAAAATGTCTAACTCTGGGGACTACACCCGAGTCATAATAATTAAAATCCCTGTCCAAAGCCCTAACGACTTATATGTGTCCTGTGCAGTTTTGTCTCAGCTCTCTAAGATACTATTTTATATTGCTATGAGTTAAAATGTTTTTGAGATATTTTAACTAGAAGGGGTGGGGACCACTATAGATGGAGGTGAAAACTCCTTTAATGACTCAATGATAAAATATCCTCCAATGATGGAGACTTGTAAATATGTTACGGAATAGTACATAAAATTCCCTTTCCAACTAGATATAATTATAACTTAATACGCTAGGTTTTCGGAGAAATAAATTATTAAATTCCTAACTAAAGCACACATAGTGGTATTTAAGTATCCCCCCCCCCCCATGGGAGGGAGAAGTCGGCCGTACAGACTGGGGTGAAAGAGATACCTTGAGGTCAAGATTCCAAACTAGTGCTAGGCGAGGTCACACCGCGAGTTGGGCGCCCACCATGGTTTTCGTAGTAATCGCGGTTGTTTCAAAATAATGTGGCATACACTGCCACACAGTGATCAGAGTTTTGATGGAAATAATGAACTCATCTGAACAGTTTCCTTTCATTGATAACACTGGTCAACAACGATTTTGCTACCTACTCAAAGTAAGACATATGGCTTGATGTATTTTAAAGCAATGATTCCAAATATGAAGTCATAATCTGCCTAGCATGTCTAGATTTTAAGTTATGCATGCCACCTGTGAAATATCCTCTTCAAAACCATGCCCAGTTACATAGCGAACCCTTCTACAAACATAGGAACCAGAATGATCATTACCGGTACATTGATTATTGGGCCTCAAAATATAGAAGAAAAAATGTATATATTAATAAAATGGTCAGTGTTGAGTAGGTGGACATTTGCCCTAAGCATATTACACGATAAGTAGCGCACAAAGCATTTACTCAATGTGGGATGAACCTTTAATGGGAAAAAAATTATTATTCAGTCTAAAATTATACAGTTTTATAGACCAAATTAAACGAACGACTAAATTTAGTACCGGTAGTTTTTCAGCTATGACTTTGAAAACATTTGAAAATGTGAGTTTGAAAAAAATTTCAATGATCGCCACAATAACAAAATGAGATCTCAGAAGCAGAAGTTTTTCTAGGGCTCAACACACCCAACCAGTGGTGTAGCGAGGAAGGGGGGGACAGATGTCCATGGTGCAAAAATGGGCTTAATTGTATTTATTGATGAAAATAGTAGGTTTCAGAGTTGAGGGGGTGCATAAATATGAATCTTGTCCCTGGGTACCAAACACTCTAGCTACGCCCCACCCAGTCACTTTGTGATATATATATAGACATATTATAAATTGGAAAATTATGACACAATCCAGTCCGAACCACTCCCCGAACGGTGGGTTGAGGTAACGCAACGCCTCCCCGGAGAGGAAGTAAAGCCGTTTTGACCCATGTCCGCACAACTCCTAGGAACAGTGGGAGAAAGTTAAGCTTGTGACTACTCCCGGAGTCGAAGGAAAACCGTGCCACACCAAAGAACGTACAGCTCCCTGGGCGGTGGGGGTGGCAACGCAACGTCATCTCCGGAGAGTAAGCAAAGCCGTCCCAACCCAAACGTCCCGACCGTAAGACTCAATGGGCAAGGGGGGCTGTGACGCAAAACTGTACCCTCATGAGTGGAAGAAACCTGCCCAAAAACCCTGTTACTCAAGGCCGAGTTGCATGGCCGGAGTCCCCAAGGACTACTAGGCTATGTTTCACGGCCAGAGGTCCTAAGAGATGGAATCTCAACCTCCGAGTATTGATCTTTATCTTTATCTGTTTCTGTAATGATGTGAATGGTCTCATGCAGAAGTTAGGTTGTGAATATGTTCATGATCAGTGAAGACTATCCATTGACTCCAGCAAAGAGAGCTTGAAAGCACAATGCTGATGGAAAAATGTATGTTCCTATTTATAGCTCATGCTGTAGTCCTCAAAGATTCCATGAAACTCATTTTAAAAGTCATCAACTGCTTAGAACACAACCGAAACATATTATGTGCTGACCTGAAACTGGGCTTTGAGAAAAATTCTGTAGTAGCAATTGATTGTAATGAACAAAGTTTAGAATCTGGAGACCAGAAAATTTGGAGCAATCAAAACTGATGCTTAGCTGAAAGCTGGAATCTTTATTGGGTCAGAAGTCAGTGAACTGATGCATGATACTTAATTTAGAACTAATCAGAACCCACTTGAACTTGCCGCTTGGGATGCATTTATGTTGGTGGCGAAAAACTTTCTTGTGAATCATCGAGTTCAGAACTAATGGCCTTCAAGCACATCAGAACTATGGTAATGGCCTTCAAGCAAATCAGAACTATGCTAATGGCCTTCAAGCAAATCAGCACTATGCTAATGGCCTTTAAGCACATCAGAACTATGGTAATGGCCTTCAAGCAAATCAGAACTATGCTAATGGCCTTTAAGCACATCAGAACTATGCTAATGGCCTTCAAGCAAATCAGAACTATGCTAATGGCCTTCAAGCAAATCAGAACTATGCTAATGGCCTTTAAGCACATCAGAACTATGGTAATGGCCTTCAAGCAAATCAGAACTATGGTAATGGCCTTCAAGCAAATCAGAACTATGCTAATGGCCTTTAAGCACATCAGAACTATGGTAATGGCCTTCAAGCAAATCAGAACTATGGTAATGGCCTTCAAGCAAATCAGAACTATAGTAATGGCCTTCAAGCAAATCAGAACTATGCTAATGGCCTTTAAGCACATCAGAACTATGCTAATGGCCTTTAAGCACATTAGAACTATGCTAATGGCCTTCAAGCAAATCAGAACTATGTTAATGGCCTTCAAGCACATCAGAACTATGCTGACGGCCTACATGCAACTTGGCTCCTGATGTCCCTAAAATGAAATGCATTTTTTACCACCAAACTTGTCTGATGAAAGGGCTGAGCACAGGGAGAGATTTCATCAAAACTTCTTAACCTTGGAAACAAGGTATCAAGGCCACTGCAGTTTATACATGAGGGGATCATTACAACTGGTTTCTTCAGCAGGGAACCGCTGCCTAGCGAAGAGCTATTGCCTAAACCACTTTTGAACTTTTATAGAGTTAAGCTGGAGACGAAATTTTGAAATGAATGTTTTCACTAACAATACTAACATATATATATTTATATTAGATTTTAAAACTTTCCCAAAGCATTCTTTTTTTTTTTTAAATTGCATTGTATTGTTTAATAGATTTTGGCATGTTTTTATTTAGATTTTCTTTTAATTTAAGAAATCAAACATAAAATTTCTTATTGGAAATAGGTTACATTTTTATTTCAAGTTATAAAATAATAAATAAAATTGGTTTATGTTATGAATGCTCTAAGTCTTAGGACAGTCACAAAGTTATGTAAGCAAATACTAGCTCTGTAATTTGTTTGCATTAAAAAAAAATTTCACATGAGGCTGCATAACTTAAATCCCACTTCAGATTTTGGAATCAGCACACTGCATTTAGTATGAACCACACAATAGATTCCAGTGGCAGGCAAAAAAGATTTGTTGGTGTCCAGTGTAATTGGCTACCATACATAACTGAACGAGATTTACCATCTTCTGGTGACTTTTTATATGCTTTGTCTTCTAGAACTTCAAAGTCATAGGCCAATAAATCAATGGGAATTGTGTACCTGAAAGAGATATTCAGATTACTTGAGGGGAAAAATTCAATGAAAATAAGACAGATGCCTGTCAAAGGGTGCAGTCCCTGTTAAACTACAATAATCTTGCTGGCTCGGTCGTTTCCAAGCAACATAGAAAATCCTGATTTTTTTTTTTCAAAAGTGTCCCTTTTTTTTATCGTGATGCTTTTGTCCTAAACTTTTTAAAATAATGACCAAATATGTCAGCATGGATTTATATTCAGAACTTTTAAAAAGAAATGTTTTGTAAATAAATAGATCCATCTTTTCAAAAATTATTGAATTGGAAAATACGTTTGACTCAGAAATTTTAGAAGTTTTAAAATTATATGGCAATTTTGTGACGTAAAAGCATTCTATGATTCTTCAAGATTAGCACAGTGATGACTTTTTGTACAAACCAAAGGTAAATGTGCTACAAAACCAAACTAAAGTCTGATTAGATGCACTAAAAACTTACTTTCTGGCATAATTCTGTTGTGCTCCAGTGAGGAAAGCTTGAGTGAAGAAAAACCCAGACAGCCAAAATGTTGGTGGTGGACCTTTATCGTACCAGTCTTGTAAAAACTGGAAAACAGACATTTTCAAAACTTATTTAATTTTCCAAAATATGAAGTTTTAGAGCTTTCATATCAAGTTATACACAACAAATAGGAAAAAAATCTTGTATGACTTTAAAATATTCTGGTCAATCATAAATTTTTAAAAATAATCCTTTTGAAATACACTTAAATTTTCAAGATTATTGTGATGCAAAGTTGAACCATAAACAACTCTGAAATAAACCTGAAAAGAATGGGTAAACTGCACTGGAAATATGCACAAAACAGTCCGTTTTGTAATGGGTGCAAACAGTTTTTTTTAAAAATGTATTTCAATGCCAGCTGACTTGTAAACAAGCCAAGAAGTCACTGACAAGTAAACGAGCCAAGAAGTCACTGACAAGTAAACAAGCCAAGAAGTCACTGACCTGTAAACGGGCCAAGAAGTCATTTATGTAGCTGCCTAAAGGTTTGAGAGAAGGGTAAGAGACTTTCTTGAAAAGAGCTGGTATTTTTCCAATCAGGATACTGGTGACCACTTCCTCCATGTCTGTAGACATCACAACAAGACCCTGAAACAAGGAGAAGGAAGAAACAATCAGTGAGGAATTCTTATTTTAAGATTTGAATCAGTTTTTTTTATTGGGTTAAAAAGATGATAACACATAGCAGAATTTTCAGCTCAGAAAAATTTTTTTTAGTCAAATTACTTAAAGTTAAAGATTAATTCGACAACATTTTTGAAGAGAAACTTTATTTTCAGTTTGTAATCAAATAGCTCCACACTCTAACTGAGAACAATATACTTAAAAACTAAATAGAATGTGTGACTTACTTTTATAGCTTTTCTGATATTTAAAAGAGTACTCCTGATCCGTGAGAGTAAACGGTTGAACCGAACCATTTCTTGGACAAGTACTGTATTCATGCTCTGAGCATAAGATGTTGGATATTTTCTTAAAGCAATGTCAGTGTCAAAGTTTGCAGGCAAACGTTCAATAATATCCAGAGCGACGTGATCTACAACTTCGTCATTGGATTTACCTCCTTTGGAAGAGGATTTTCCCTGAAATTGAGAATTATATGAAAGAATTTATAATTATAATTAGGATAAAAAATATATCTTTGAAAACATTCTATTTTATAAATAAATGATGATATTATAGTTGGCCCTTCGCAAGCAAAGATGATAAAGACTTGGACTTAAGTTGTAGCATTTAGCATTGACTTGAGCTGTACCGGTATTTTGTTTTAAGTGAGTGAGGGAGAGTGGCTCAATTCGTCAGCCTCACTCTCTTGTGCTTGCCTAGTTGCTCCATTCGTCAGCCTCACTCTCTTGTGCTTGCCTCTATTGGATCCAATGACAAGACTTAGTCCAGACAACTGGAAATAGATTAGCATGCAGTGGATGACCAGTAGTGTTTCCTTTGTCTTCCACGTCGCTGTTGTCGGATTTTTCATTGTGTCAATGTCATAGCGCGTGCTGGACTCCATCTCCGGGTTTGAGTTCAGAGCTTCCTTCCCTTAGATGAGTTGCCATCCAAGATTAACGAGTGTTGTTTTTTGCTTGTCTAGGCTGGGCACTGAACGTCAGTCCACAAGCTTGGGATTGACAATGTCTTAGCCACGCAGCATGATAAGGTGATATACCGGTACAACAAGTTTGATTGTCGTCTGGAATGGACCAACCACAGCTAACTTAACTTTTTAGCTTTGAGCCACTCAACACCATAGTGACTAAATCAGCAAAAGATAATGTGTAAGTGTAGAAGGCTTTACATCCATTCAAACTTAATTAATTTTATTTGTTGGCAACATTTTGATAGCAGTCTCAAATGATGCCCAAGTTACCAATGGCTAATGCCATCCATGTAAGTAATGTCATCATAACACGTTTCCATTGACTGGGATCAATACAAGAATCTCATCTTATGAACAATATGTCAAAAGTTAGTTCCCCAATGTTGCAACATGAGTTTATTGATTTAAAACCCAGTGATTTCACATTACCAAAGTTAACAAGATGTTGTCAAACAATTGTTGGGTCTCAGACTGGTCTTTGGTAATCTCAGCATTGGGGTGCATCCCAAATACTTCTGTGGAGGCCATCAGGGGTAGACTTTGGGTGAAAGCAAGGTAAGATTCATACTGAAAATACAATGACATCAAATAGAATACACACAGAAATATATTCAATACATATTTAAAAAAAAAAAATTAAATGAGTTATAAGTTGCGATGCTTCAACAAGTCCTTAACAAATACAGTTATTTTATATAGCAAGTTTTAGACGAGTCTAGGAAAATCTATTTAATATAATAGTAACTTTAACATAGGGAGATCTTCCTATCAAATTTCTAATAGCTTATTATCATATGGGCACCACAAATTGCTATATTTCTATCTATATCTCCTTATCTGGTACCCGGTACCTAATGGAGAATATTAATTTTAAAATTATTTTCTAATTTTTCCGACCCATTTGTCTAAAATGTTTTTGCTATTGAAATATCTAGTTATTTGAGTTATTTGTTATCTGATAAGCTAGGCCCATGATGATAAAATGCTTACATCACCATCAGGCGGGAGCATGTATTTCTTTTGAGGATCAAAATAGAATACTTCAGTGGTGATCAGCTCAGGACAGTAGAATCTGTTAAGGATGGTCATCAGCGTCCTTCTGTCCCAGCTGTCGGTCACACGACCACCATAGTTACATTCTCCGGTCAGGTAACGCAAGGCTTCAAACTGAACCTCCTGTGGTTAGTTACCATGCACAAATTGTTAGATTTCAACATATCCATCAATAATTGATTCACTGATATACTGATATCTTAAAATAGAAACAAATGAAAATAATTGACATCAAACATTGTCATCTTAAAGACAACAAGTTTGAGCCATTATGCTGTTATTGTGTGGGTGTGGGGGGGGGGGTTGTGGGGGGTGGTGTTACTTAAGCATTAGTTGATAGGGGTGCTGGATAGCCGAGTGGTCTAAAGTGAGCAAATCTCAAGTTGGTTCTTAAAATAGAAACAAATGAAAATAATTGACATCAAACATTGTCATCTTAAAGACAACAAGTTTGAGCCATTATGCTGTTATTGTGTGGGTGTGGGGGGGGGGTTGTGGGGGGTGGTGTTACTTAAGCATTAGTTGATAGGGGTGCTGGATAGCCGAGTGGTCTAAAGTGAGCAAATCTCAAGTTGGTGGTCTGGAGATCAATTCCAGCCAAAGCAGTCAAGCAAAAAATCACCAGCACCCCGGGTAGATGGGACTCGTTAACCTTGGATGGAAACTTATCTAATAGAAGGAAACTCTGAAATCAAACCCCGGAGATGGAGTCTCGAAAGGCGGATAACATTGGTTCTAATGAAACATTCCCACAACTCCTGCAACGTCATTGGTGCCAAGCTGTATCATCCAATGATGTTCCTTTGGGTGATCCAGCAGCGTGGAGAGAGGCGATTTGCTGTTGGGAACCAGCTTATAATCCTTGAAGAAATAATCCCAGGCCTCCGAAGCCCACACCATCGTCACATGTGACGGACGGATGCCAACAACAACCAAGTTGATAGAAAACTATTTCAAAACATTCTTCAAAATATGTACTGGGTCAGGTTAAATGAAAATTAAATATTTTTTTCAAAATTGCTTTTATCAAATAATTCACGAGATGTACATCCAAATACAACAACAACATACATTAACTGAGAAAAATTAAATTCCATTCACACAAATCTAAAGGGAACAAACCTCATACTGGTTGAGGAAGATCTGCAATTGTAAAACACTGATTCTTAAATCAGTGTCATTGTATTCATATGGAATATTCCAACCCAATGGGCCAAATTTCTTTCTCTCTTGGACCAAAGCGTGGAAGAAACACAGGGAGTACAGCATTCTTTTAAAGATGACCTAGCAATGATCAATACAGAAAACAATAATCATTGGTTTACAAGGTGTGAACGGAATTCAAACTTATAATTACAGCATACCAGTGCATACATTGAGTATTTTAGTCGTAAACTTCATTTTAAGACACAGAGTTGATTTATCCATGGATCATAAATATCTCATTTACAACAGCCTGTTGTTAGTAAGATGATGTTGGAGCAATGCCCATCAAGATGCCCGCCATTCATCAGTATATGCTTGTCATTTTTTAACTGCATATAATTAATATAAATGAAATTGTCTTTGGTCTATCGTATTTGATCTGGTAAAGTTTCCAATATTTTGTATTATTTTATTTGCAATTTCAATACAGAATTATGTAGCCCATGTACCATTGTTGAAATTATATTCTTTAAAGATTGTCATCTGAAGACTGACCACATAAATACTTTTTCAAAAACAATTGGTTGGTTAAAAATGTCCTAGTTTTTAATCTTAGGCTAGCCTTTAATTCTACATTGTTAAAATAAAGTCATTAAATACTAATGGTTAAAGGGTGCAGACCATAAAAATGTTCTAAATTAACAAGCAATTTAATTTCAATAAAATGAAAGATATTGCTTGTCTGTGACTAGTTAAGTAATTTCTGTGTAGTGGGCTCGGAGAGAGATTGACTTAACCTATTATTACTGCCCTGTTCTCGACACAGGTTAAATCACTTCTAAACAATGTTATACCGGTACACTCACCGGCTGTGCACATCCATTAAAGAATTCAGGGTCAGAGATGGGATCTGATTTGTAGGATTTTACGATGTTAAATCTCAAACCTTTAGGTGCCTCATTGGTCATTTTCACACCATTTTGTAGGATTGATACAGGAAATACACCGGAGGGATAGGACGTTAGCCATAAACGAAAGTCGGGATGGGTTTGGTCTTCGGAAAATTCCTGTAAGGGTTGCAACAAAACGGCTATGTCTTATTTTTAAAAGTCATTACCTTTAAAAGGTTTCTTTTAAAAACTGTAGTTAAATGATTACTCAAGTTAATACAGCTTCACATTATTGTACAATTTTTTAACCTCCAACAACAGAATTTCTAATCACTGACAACTATTTTCTTATGATTATCAACATTTTCTTATCATTGCCGACTATTGACTTATCATTGCCAACGATTTGCCTATCATTTCCAACTATTTTCTTATCATTGCCAACAATTTACTTATCATTGCCAACTATTTTCTTATCATTGCCAACTATTTTATTATCATAGCCAACTATTTCCTTATTAAAGAAGTTGGACCCGAAATGTTGGACAAAGATTTTTTTTAAATTTAATATTTTTAATTATAAAGCAGTAAAATTAATCAGATTTAGTGAATATTTCTTACCGCTGTAATTTTCTCCAGTGTTGGCATCCATGAAGCAGCAAGGTGACAGTTTTGTAATACCACCCAAAAGCCATCTTTACAGGCCTTGTCAATCATCTTGATTGCAATTGGTCCTTGACCTTGGCCAAGAGAAAGGGAATCAAATTTTTCACCTCCCATGTTCTGAAAGAGACATACAGATTAAACAAATTAAATTTAAATGCTACATTATTCCTTTTTTCTTAAAATAAAGGAAACAATAATTATATTTTAGCTTGAAGATCTACTAGGTATGTTTTCCTGAGAGGAAAATTAATATTTAAATACAGAAACAGGAAGTGGTAGCTTTTAGTGATATGAATATTTAGTAAAAGATACAATCCTTAAAAATACTGAGTTGTCATTCTGAAATTACTTTAACAATCTTTTTTTTTATTATTTTAATAACAATTAACTCTTCATAAAGTTGTTTCATTCTAGATATATAAGTTGAATAGTCACTTCTAAATAGTCACATTTAAATTGTCACCTTAAAATAGTCACAATTTGAATTATTTTTTAAAGTCAAATTAGATAAGTTGTAAATAAAGTTACAAAATACACATTTTGAGATCATCAAGTTCAGCTATTCTTTTTTTGTATGAAATGTGATCATTTTCATATTTTGATTGTTTCATTAAGGGACTTAGGCATATTTTAAGGTGTTCAAATTTCTGCAATACACTTGGCCAACCAGATAAGAAAAGGTCACAGTTTAGAGTTATTTGTACAAAAATGTGACTTCAGTACTTTTAGCACTAGGGCCTTCAATTATAAAAAATGTCAAATCTTTTAACAAGATAAATGTGTAAAAATAAAATGTGCTCACATTGTCATCAGCAAATTTGAGTAATGCTGCCATGGGGTCAGAGCCAGGAGACAGGACGAACAACAAAGGCGTTGTACAGTTACTGTCTGCATAAGATTTGGGCAGGTCGAATGGGGGAGGTTCAACAAATGATTTGCCAAGTTTCTCTGTGACAAAGTTCTGGACTGCGGGTATCACCTGAAATAGACAGGAGCATTCTATAAAGCCCTGGCAAATAGATTGCATCAAAGAGGATGACTCTCCAAATTATTGTGGCAATACTGTCATCAAATTATAAACTAAAACCTATTTCAACATTGACTTCAATATAAAATGTTTTGCAGACATTAATATTTAGTATTAATTATTAATGCCTGATAAAGCACTCTTTATTTCATAGTTTTTACTTCGAATATTTAAAACAAATGAAAACAAAAGGGGAACAAGTCAGTGGAAGAAAATAAGGAGCGTCTTAATTTTGTTTTACAATTCTTAAACTAAATAGCAAGTCAAAGATAGTTTTTTTCAAACAATTTTTTTTAACAGATACACATCAAAATCTGATTACATTTGATTTAATCTTCTGGATAACATTTTCTCTATGAAATCCCAGATGGTATAATCCAGTGCAAAAATAATAGTAAATTATAGTAAATATTGAATAAAACGGCTGTGGATGCAAAGATTCAGTGATTTCATATCATCAAAAGTTATAATGTTTAAATGAGGAATTTTAATGTAACAGGCACCTGAAAATGGGGCCCGTCTTTATGACAGATAAGCCTCTTGTTAAAAGTTAGCTCTTTTTTTATAAAGCTACCACAATGGCTCCCTCAACTGTTTCACACACAAGCAAACTAGAGGAAACTAAAAAAATACCTTGTCAAATCTGAAGACACGAAGTGCTAGCATTTTTTGAAAGAGGTTGAGCTTAGCCTCCCACAGTTTGGGCATTGGTTCATTCTGTGGTTCCTGTGGAATAACAAGTGAAATCAAGCAATCAGCAAAGATTGTATCAACTAGAACCAAGCAATCAGTAAACATTGTATTTATTTATTTATTTATTTAGGCATTTTTATATAGCGCTTACCATAAAGCTCTAAGCGCTTTACTATTATTAAAAACATGTAAACTAAGTAAAATAAAAATGAGACACTAGGATAGTAACTACTATACTATAGAAACAATGAAAATGGCTATAAAACGAGGACACTTTGACACGTTTTGGCCTATACTTCAGGATCAACCCGAAACAGAAAATGAGGCAGGGCAAGGAGGGTGCATCACAGGTCATAGGCGGACCTAAACAGATGAGTTTTAAGGGACTTTTTGAAAATGGACGAGGTTTCACTATGACGTATATGGAAGGGGAGCTGGTTCCAGAACGTGGGCCCATGGAAGCAGAAGGAGCGTTCACCGATGGTCTTAGTTTTAGTTCTTGGGATTGAGAGGGTTCTACTGTCAATGGAAGAACGTAGTTGTCTTGTGGGGATGTAAGGAAGCAACAGTTCAGAGAGATAGACAGGAAAGTGAGGGTCAGTGAACGAGTTGAAGCAAAGATTGGCAGACTTGTATTTGATGCGAGAGGATATTGGAAGCCAGTGGAGTTGCCGCATGTGTGGTTGAATGTGGTCATGTTTCTTTGATTTAAAAATGAGTCTGCATGCTGAGTTCTGTGCCTTCTGAAGTTTTTCTATGTGGTGTTGAGGAATGCCTGAGAGAAGAATGTTACAGTAGTCAAATTTTGAAAGAATGAGTGAAGAGACGAGAGTTTTTGTGGCATCAAAGGAGAGGAGGTGTCTAATGGTGCTGATTTTTCTAATTTCGTTATATGCTGATCTGCATATATTCGTGACATGTTTCTCCATGGAGAGGGTGTCCGTAAGCGTGACTCCAAGGTTTCTGGCAGAGGGAGAGAGTGTGATGTCAGAGTTGCCAATAGATATAGAAGAAGGAGCGAATGGAGGGAGAGGTTTGTTTTGAGAGTGGATGAGAAGGATTTCCGTTTTATCATCATTTAGCTTCAGTTTGTTGCAAGTCATCCAACGCTTTACATCGTCCACGCACTCCTGTATGCGAAGGATTGTGGCATCAAGTTGATCAGGAAAGCAAGAGTCACTGATTTGAGTGTCATCAGCAAAGGATTGACTGGAAACTGAGTGGTGGCTAATGAGAGATGATAGAGGTTTAGTGTAGAGGATCAACTAGAACCAAGCAATCAGTAAACATTGTAACCAACTAGCTGCAGTTTATCTTGAACTAGTCAGATGTAAAATGTGCACCATCAAGGCTTTATTTTAGTTTAACTAATTAGCCAGTACAAACCATGCTGTCATAAACTCTCTTCCAATCCAACCAATCAGCCAGTACAAACCATGCTGTCATAAACTCTCTTCCAATCCAACCAATCAGCCAGTACAAACCATGCTGTCATAAACTCTCTTCCAATCCATCCAATCAGCCAGTACAAACCATGCTGTCATAAACTCTCTTCCAATCCAACCAATCAGCCAGTACAAACCATGCTGTCATAAACTCTCTTCCAATCCTCAGCCTCTTTTGAAAATCTTTCCATGATGCCCCTGTAAGATTCCAGTTCATTGATGCGACACAACTCATCCCATGACCTAGTGGGCAGCCAGTCAACAGGTTTTTTGCGTGGGTTGTCCAGACCCACGCCGCCTGTGAGGAAAAATCTCCATTCCTCTTCATTAATCTCTTTGTTGTGTTTTAAAATGTTGACGCACAACAAGAAGGAAAACAGCAACTGAGGAAGCAAAGAATGGAGAGAGTGAATTGGCACTACTGGCACTACTGGCAGTATTTAAAAAAAACACAGACTAAGCCAGTCATTCTTACATACACTGCAAATCTTATATTGAAAATAAAAGTCGTATAAATAATAAAACTGTTTAAACAAGTAATGGGTCTTACAGAGTGAATCCACCTGTGATTTATCAGTGGTCCTCAAACTTTAAGCAGAAATGGGCAACATTCAATAGTTATAAATATTTAAAATAGAAGATTATCAATTGAAAGGCATCAAATGGAAAAACACTCGGTTTTTGCTCACTACTCTTTCACTCCATATGAAAAACGTACTGTAGTTAAAAAAACGCTTAATCAAATTTAGAAACTAGTATTTCACCAAATACCTTATCTTTTTCAAACAGAGATCGGCAGACATTGCAGTACAACAAGAATGTGAAATGCTTGTGGAGATTGATGAGACGTTCATCAAGAACCTCCGACTTGTCTGCATTTTCAATAGATATGTTAAAGAGATTGATAAACCAGGTAAGGGAGTATTGGTACATCGGGTCAATGTTCGCCAGGTCGGCAATGGAGAAAAACAGGACAGTGCTGTGTATGGCGATGGGGGTGTAACCCATACGAGCCTCATCAATTTTTATTTCTGTCTCTTCTGCAATGGCCTAGTTGAAAGAGAAATAAGATAAAATTTTCTTTAACAGTAAAACGTGATGACTTGGTGTTTTCCCCACTGGTTTACATGAGGCACAAAATGTGGAGCGCTATTTTTAGAAAGTGCGGATCTATAAATACTGTTATTCTTTTTACTTACTTGTTTCTCTGAGATTTCATTGGACAAAGTCTTGGACGAGGACAGCACTTTAATGGCTGTTTCATCTTCTAGAATATTACCTTCTGAAGATGACAGAACTTCAAGGATTTTATCTTCTATTTCTTTCAGCTGCCTGTCGGTTGGTAGAGAAGTGGACAACTTATTGGTCTTTGGTTTTCATATTTATTGCACATTACAATGAGATACTTTTATAAAGTTTCAACATACATTCTAATTTATTCTTCAATCAATTTCCAACATTTATGATTTAATACCTCTCTTGAGCTCATAAACAAACATGGAACTAGATCATTCATTTTATATATAATTATATGTTATTTGATATCTAAAGAACCTGCTTTAAATTTTTAAAATCTGACAAAGATGGTTCTCACTTTTTATTGGAGGCCCCCTGAATGATGAGGATACTTTTCTCTTCTTCCAGCTCTGGTCTTTCCTTGGCCACAACAATACCCAGCAGCTGGTCCTGGAGACCCTCGGGTGTGATCATAAAGTTGATCAAGGTTACCTGAAAGTAATCAGTACTATTTGAATATGTCAGTTACTCTGGAAGTCTGAGTAACTGTCTAGTGAGGGAGGAGTCCTGAAGTTCAGCTTTTAATTTGAGTTGATGCAATTCTTAAAAATAATTAATTTTTAAAATTGTAATTTTAGTGTCATGTTATGAATTGAATTCATAAAAATGAAAAATATAATTATTTTCATTCTAAGAATTGGAAGACACTAAAGACATCTATAGGCAACTCAATTTTTTTCTCTTGTGAAAGATTTAATATCCGTTAAATATTTGATACTTTTTATAAATAAAATATTATTATAATGTTAAGTACAAAAAATAAGAGTAATGTAAATGGTACTCATGTCTACATAGTCCTTTGAGAACCCCTGTATTCTGTTTTAGATTTAATCAAGCAATCCAAGAGAACTGACTCGATAATCCTTGATGATTATAATTTAAAATCACTAATGTGCCCACCTTGACAGCTGTTTCAGGGAGATAGTGTGGATTTCTTAAGCTGGTTGTGATGTAAAACTTGAAATCAAAGGAGTATTCAATGGTTGAATCCCCTAACTTGATACACGTGGCGCCCCCCTGTTTGAAGACCTGCTTCAGTAGTAGTGGTTCAAGCATGGGATCTAACTCTTCTTGGATATTCTCTAGTAGGACCTAGATGAGGGTTAAATTTATTTTTGTAAATAATTTCTTTATATTATTGTTAGCAGATTGGATTTAAAGGATTCCGTTATATAAATTTATAAAAATAAAAAGAGATTTTATTAGCTCTATCTAGTCATGTATCTGTATCTAAATGTTTTGCTGAAAGTCCTTAATGAATTTAAAATTCACAAAAATATTGATGAGACATAGACACTGCTTTTACAAATGAATTGTATAGGATGATGTGTTTTTTTAAATGCAGCACATTAAACTCATACACACTGGGGTTCCGAACTGTATGCAGTTCTCCAGGTTCCTGACAAAGTCTCGGTCTGTGAGCTTGATGACATGGAGGTTATTCTGCTTCTCCATGTTTTTAATCCATTTGTTGGCCTGGCCTTGTGGGTCAATCATCAAGGGCCATCGGTTGGAGTTACTAGTCAAATGGAACATCATCAGTGTTGTTAGTTGGATAAAAAAAATTAATAATTTACAATTATTTATACACAGTGGGGAAAATATAATTTTTTGAGTGAAAGTTCTATAGTTTCAAAATTTAATCAACCTTATGATCAAGCTGTTAACATAATATAATCAAGCTCATGTTAACAAATATAATCAAACTCATGTTAACAGAATATAATCAAACTCATCTTAACATAATATAATCAAGCTCATGTGAACAGAGTATAATCAAACTCATGTTAACATAATATAATCAAGCTCATGTTAACATAATATAATCAAGCTCATGTTAACATAATATAATCAAGCTCATGTGAACAGAGTATAATCAAGCTCATGTTAACATAATATAATCAAGCTCATGTTAACATAATATAATCAAGCTCATGTTAACATAATATAATCAAGCTCATGTTAACATAATATAATCAAGCTCATGTTAACATAATATAATCAAGCTCATGTTAACATAATATAATCAAGCTCATGTGAACAGAGTATAATCAAGCTCATGTTAACATAATATAATCAAGCTCATGTTAACATAATATTCAAGCTCATGTGAACAGAGTATAATCAAGCTCATGTGAACAGAGTATAATCAAGCTCATGTTAACATAATATAATCAAGCTCATGTTAACATAATATAATCAAGCTCATGTTAACATAATATAATCAAGCTCATGTGAACAGAGTATAATCAAGCTCATGTTAACATAATATAATCAAGCTCATGTGAACAGAGTATAATCAAGCTCATGTTAACATAATATAATCAAGCTCATGTGAACATAATATAATCAAGCTCATGTTAACATAATATAATCAAGCTCATGTGAACAGAGTATAATCAAGCTCATGTTAACATAATATAATCAAGCTCATGTTAACATAATATAATCAAGCTCATGTTAACATAATATAATCAAGCTCATGTGAACATAATATAATCAAGCTCATGTTAACATAATATAATCAAGCTCATGTTAACATAATATAATCAAGCTCATGTTAACATAATATAATCAAGCTCATGTTAACATAATATAATCAAGCTCATGTTAACATAATATAATCAAGCTCATGTGAACAGAGTATAATCAAGCTCATGTTAACATAATATAATCAAGCTCATGTTAACATAATATAATCAAGCTCATGTTAACATAATATAATCAAGCTCATGTTAACATAATATAATCAAACTCATGTTAACATAATATAATCAAGCTCATGTTAACATAATATAATCAACCTCATGTTAACATAATATAATCAAGCTCATGTTAACATAATATAATCAAGCTCATGTTAACATAATATAATCAAGCTCATGTTAACATAATATAATCAAGCTCATGTTAACATAATATAATCAAGCTCATGTTAACATAATATAATCAAGCTCATGTTAACATAATATAATCAAGCTCATGTTAACATAATATAATCAAGCTCATGTTAACATAATATAATCAACCTCATGTTAACATAATATAATCAAGCTCATGTTAACATAATATAATCAAGCTCATGTTAACATAATATAATCAAGCTCATGTTAACATAATATAATCAACCTCATGTTAACATAATATAATCAACCTCATGTTAACATAATATAATCAAGCTCATGTTAACATAATATAATCAAGCTCATGTTAAAAAAATGGAGTTATGTCTTTTCTTTTATTAAAAAAATCTTATTAATGTTTGAGACTGATAAATATTCCTGTCAACTTGTACCCATAACCAAGATAAGAAGATGGACAAACGGCCGGCACAAAAAGGGGAAATCCTTCTCAACTAGTGTGATAATGATAATGATAATGTAAGGTAAAATTAAACAACCCTTAAACATTTTTTAAAACTAAATCCTTGATATGTTATATATTGTGCTCTAGTGGGTGGGGCTCAACATTGGGCAAAACATGCATACAAGTAACGCACTTGATACAAATACCTTTTAGTGCCCCTCAACCTAAGGCTCGCAACCGCACATATTTTTCCCGCCCCTGAACTATACTAACATTCTAATGACCCACCCACTTTTACGCCACAGATTTATTTCACCAACAATTTCAGAAAAATAAAGACAACATTGCACTATTGAGTGTATGGGGAGGAACTCAATGCTTGTGAGGAGAGGTGCTCATTGATTGTGTGGGGTAATTCTGATGAAATTCTAGGATTGAGGGAAAAAATATTCTCCTATCTAAATAGCCAGGCATGGGGTTTTTATTTCATACTTCCTTTTCAAGCTGATCAAATCTATAACTGTGAACACTTTAAAATGGCTTGACAAACCTAATGATAATTCCATTTTCTACAGAAAAGCTGTCTGTTGGAAGTCCTGCAATATTCCAAGATCTAATTTTCACAGGATCTCCCAAAGTGTTGGTCAGGGAGAAATCTTCAGCACATGAAATGTTCATTCTCCTGACTTCCTTTAACCAACTCATTGATTCTTCCTGTTGACAGAATGAAAACAAAACTACTTTTTCTTTTATTTATTCTTGGAAACTTGAAAAAACGTTTAGCTATGCAAATTTCCTCAAAATACAGTCTCAAGCTAAAAGTTTACCAGTCTGAAGGCTGAAGTAAATGCTCCAAGGTATGCTACAATACCAGAGGAAACCAAGACATCTCCGTTTAGATTGCCATATTTTAGGCCCAGTCTGTGTGCTGCTGTCTCCCATCTGTAACACATTAACAAAGATTAGTGGAAACATTTATGTGCAGATATCGGCTTTGCTGAATCATTAATGAAATAATTTAAATCACCTTAAAATATTTATGAATATACCCATCCAATGAACAAATGCACCGACCTCTGTTTCTCGCCTCCCAGTCCACCTATGAGCTGTGAGGCTCTTTCCAACTTTTTCTGGCACAAATCAACCTGGTTCTCAAGGTCTGCCTTCTTTTGTTTGTTATTTTCCAAAGTATCTTGAAGTTTCTGAAAACATATTGATAAGGTCAGTAATGCTCCAAGTTGGATTTTTAAAACAGGCACGTGTTTGTCAGCTACTAATGAGAAATAAAGAGCAGAGTTTAGAAATCTTAATATGATTTGAAAACAGAGCACAAAAATGATGTTTCGATTTTTACATCTTGAAGGTTTATGTTAATAAATTACAATCTTGTTCAATGATAAATAGTGAACAAGGTAGTAACAATCAAGAACTGAAAAGAAAGTCTATTTTCTCATGCAATCCAATGTTAAATAAAATTGTACGCAAAATGCTACAATTCATTAAAAAGCAAATCATGATTTTTTAAATTAAAAAGTTAAATTTTAACATTGATGGACTGATAGTTTATCAATTAGATTTTCCATTCAAGTTCTCAAATGGCTTTATTTTATTTTAAAAGTTAAACTGAAATGAAAAAATTCCTTTACTAATCACTTGTTGATGATGTAATTACCATAGAAACTGTTGATTGTTTAATTACCATGGAAACTGACCTGCAATTTGCCCTGTACATCCCTCAGTGATCCTCGTTTCTTCTCCAAAGAAGTCATGGCTGCCTTCAGTTCTCCCTCAGCCTCCTTCAAGGCTGCTTGCTTAGGGGCCACAACTTTTGCTACACTGTTTTTCAGAGGGAGACCATTCAAATGTACTGCAGGAAATTATCTATCTGCTACAATTTGTTTTAAATACACCTCAAGTATTTACTGACTGTTTAACTGTTAAAATTATGTGGATATTTGTATTAACTTGTCCTGAGTTCCATCAAATAAAATCAGTCAAGTAGAGAAAATTAATTTAACCTGATTTGATAGCAATGACATTTATTTTCCTTTTGTTGAAAGTCGTTGGTACAGAATACTATTTATTTACAATTGCATTCACAATGAAATTATCTTACACATCCATCCCAATGTAACAGGGTTATTGAAATCTATTCATCGTGTCAACTTACTCATCATATTTATCCATGGCTCTAACCCATTTGCACAGACCCTCGCAAGCAGTGGATGCAAGTTTGATTTTGTCAGGATCAAAGTCTGGATTAGTAATATACTGCTTACGTATTTTCTTGATGTTTTCTATGGGGATATTGTCCTATTGATCACAATGAAAATGAATGTTATTTTAAAGTGTAAATATCAATTGCACAATTTTAAGTCCAACAATCAATTCCTAAATGTATTACAATTTTTTTAAAGTTATTATGCTGTAAAGTTAAATGAAATATAATCTCAACTGACATAGTAAAAATGTTTAAATCCTGTTTCCTAATCCTTATGGCACGTGACTTACATGAGAAATAGTCAGAAATTGGAATTACAAAACTTTCAAGTCTTTTTAAATGTATTTGATTAAATCTACACAAAGCTGTCGTTAGATGTGACCTTGTCAAACTCCCGTAGCTGCTCCAAAAACTTCATGTCCCCAAGCATTTTCTTGGATGGACCCCAGTAGTCATCAATTTTTTTAGCAGAACCATCAGTGGCATTAATCCGTTCTGGCTTGACACCCCGCAGTACACAGACAGCTTCCAGCACAAGTTTCACCAGGTATGGGGGGCTCTTCATAGTCTTTACCACAGTTATATCCTGTCACATAATGACAAAAAAGACAATATCCTGTCACATAATGACACCAAAACAATATCCTGTCACATAACGACACCAAAACAATATCCTGTCATATAATGACACCAAAACAATATCCTGTCACATAATGACACCAAAACAATATCCTGTCACAAAATGACACCAAAACAATACTCTGTCACATAATGACACCAAAACAATATCCTGTCACATGACACCAAAACAATATCCTGTCACAAAATGACACCAAAACAATATCCTGTCACAAAATGACACCAAAAGAATATCCTGTCACATAATGACAACAAGACAATATCCTGTCACAAAATGACACAAAAACAATATCCTGTCACATAATGACACCAAAACAATATCCTGTCACAAAATGACACCAAAAATATATCCTGTCACATAATGACACCAAAACAATATCCTGTCACATAATGACAACAAGACAATATCCTGTCACAAAATGACACAAAGACAATATTCTGTCGCATGACACCAAAACAATATCCTGTCACATAATGACACCAAAACAATATCCTGTCACAAAATGACACCAAAACAATATTCTGTCGCATAATGACACCAAAACAATATCCTGTCACAAAATGACACCAAAACAATATTCCGTCACATAATGACACCAAAACAATATCCTGTCACAAAATGACACCAAAACACCAAACAATATTCCGTCACATAATTTTAAAGCTATTTCATTTTTAAAATGAAAGCAAATATTCTGTAAGACCAGCATTTTCACTGTAAAATTTATTTATTTGTTTTTGCATGTGAAATAACAATACAGACATTATATTTTTAGACCACTGCCAGGCTTGGTATCCATGTTCTTTATTTTCTGAAGTTGTTCACAGAGCCTGCAAGCCTATATACACTCATTGAACATTCTGTCCAGCATTGATCTGACATCAATTAAGAGCAGCTGCCTCTGTGTGCCACTCAGTTCATTCCTCAACTTTATCATTTCCCAATTTACAAAGAAGTGACCGCTGTGAGTGATATATGTTTTCATTTGATGAATCTCCAAATGAGAGTTGATGGGGCAGGGGACATGTTTGACAACATGCAGTCTCTTAAAACTAAGTAAAATACTAAACAATTCTATACAATGTAGCCCCATGTTTCCAAGTAGATTTTCAAGAGAGGGTGAGAGGCTACATACAACTTCAACATTTTGAGAAACAGAGACTTATCTTTCCAAATATTACAGTTGCTGATTTATTATAATTACATGACTGACCTCATTAAACAAAATAATATATTAATGAAATATCTAATTAAACGAAAAGGGGAAATCTCTTCAAATTTAAATGGAAAAAACTTGTATTAATTTTATAAGTTAAACTTAAAATATATCTCCACCAAATCAGATTATAAAAGGAATCTCACGTTTTGAGTCAGAGTGTTCAGAGCAGACAGAGCAGCTTCTAAGGCAGGCAGAGCCAATGCCAGCTGGGCGTCACAGTCATCTTTAATTGCTTTGGCGGCCGAGGCTTGTTCATTGGCTATGGCTTCATCAGCTTTTACAACCTGGAGCATGGGCACAAAGTTAGTAAATGTACTGATTATAGCTGGTTGAAAGTTAATAGTGAAACACAATAAACATGATAAGGGCATTTATATAATCTTAAAAAGATTATAGGAAAAATTGAGTGTATATGTACTTATGAAATATTTTTTAAATTTCAAAACCCCCCAGCATTTTCTCCAGGATAAGGATGGATATATGTGCCAAGTTTGGTCAAGATCCATCAATACATATAGAAACGTATGTGAACAAACAAATTTTCACTTTAAAATACTAATACATACATATATTTATTATGATATGATAATAAAGTTAGGTAAGATAAGGATCATATACTAATAAATAAGAAAACAAAGGAACAATACAACAACAAAATTCTCAATATGTCAACATATAATATTAGTGTATGTACCTTTTCCACCTTGGCCACTTCGATTGAATCTTTCTCAATGACAACCATGATGTCAGAGACCTCTTTTGAGGCAACAACAAGTTGTGGCTGAAGATCTGTCAGTTCTTGCTGCATGACTGAAACTTGGCTGGCGGCTGAAGCTAATTTTTCAAGACCAATGACGTATCTCATTTTTTGAGTCATCACCTGACTGATAATTTCATTTTTTAAAATATAAAGGTAACATTTTCTATCACATCCATTTAAGAAACTCTATTGCACAAATACTTGAATGTCTAAATTAATGTTTTCTAACAGTTATGAGTTTTGGCATTTAGTGGCAAAAGTCTACAAGAAAAAACAAAATTTAAAACCCACAATTTTAAGTGGCTGCTGTGGTAAGGAAGAGGATTAATTACCTAGTCCATTTTTAAAACATATGTTATTATATGATAATATTATTTATTTTTTATAAAAGTTAAAAAAAGAAATAAAGTAGATAGCACATTGTAGTAGGCTAGTCTTTTAAACTTTTAGCTAATGTTTTTTAATCATGCTATCTTTACAAGAGTTTTTTCCTTCCAGTTTTTATATAAAGTGAAATCTCTTGCAGTCTATTAAAATTAATATTTGTCAAGTACACATATAATAAAATAATGGATTAAGTCACAACAGTATGTCTTACTCTCTGTTATTCTGCAGCAGATTTTTAAATGTATTGATGAGTTCTAGATAAGAGGTGGGTGTCACATAGTTATGACGACCAAGCTGATTAAGAAATCTTTCTGACAAATGCTGAACAAAGGATATCATATGTATAAACATGCAAGTTTAACAACATTCATTTTAAACATTTATTTTTTATTGCAAAAAAATATCAATTCCCATGTCAGACATGGCAAAGAAGAAAAATTACTTTTAAATATTACGTTTCATCGCATGTAATTTTGAATCACAAAGAAAGACCCTTGCTATTATTTCATGAGAAATTAGATTGTTCAATGAGAAATGGCTGTTGTAAAGTACCTGGGTGGACTGGTGGAAATGTTTGCACATAACAATGACTCCCTTTCTTTCTTTACTTTCCATTTCAATGGCTTCCAGAAAACGTGTGGCTACTGCTTCCAGGGCATCATCTGGCCAGGCCTGAACAATGCAAATTAATTAATTGTACGATTATGAAAATCATTATCATTAAAGACACTACAGCCCATGATGGGGTCTAGCCTGCATCACTATATCCTTTCATGTTCTATAAATAGCCTGCATCACCATATCCTTTTATGTACTATAAATAGCCTGCATCACCATATCCTTTTATGTACTATAAATAGCCTGCATCACCATATCCTTTCATGTACTATGAGATGTTACAACACAGATTGACATTCATTACTGTACGGCAGATATGAATGGACACATTTCTGTAGCCGTATCATGCATCAGTGACATCTACTCACTTGGAACCAGTTTACTGTGCAACAGTTGACAAGGGATGGAAATTTGCGCAGCCTGTTTCTAAACGCATCCCCGATGGGGCTCATGGACAAGACAACATGCAACTGTTCCCGTACTTTGGAAACAAACAGGTTGAACAGCGCCATCATGGATCCATCGGTCTGTTGATTTTTATCTCTTTGTCTGAACAAAAATAAATAAAGAGTTACCATTTCCTTTTCCTGGAAAATGCTTTAGAAAGCAACCACTTCATTTTCCTGGAAAATGCTTTAGAAAGCTACCACTTCATTTTCCTGGAAAATGCTTTAGAAAAGCTACCACTTCATTTTCCTGGAAAATGCTTTGGAAAGCATTTTCCTGGAAAATGCTTTGGAAAGCAACCACTTCATTTTCCTCGAAAAGTCTGTAGGAAGCTGCTTAAAATATTTAGCTCCAATTTTTTACCAATAACCAAACGAGATTTACACATCTTATTAAAATATTTTTGCAGAACAAAATAAAAATGGCATATTTAATTTGAAGCTAAGAAAAAGAATGTTACATTCTATAACTTCTTTAAAACTAAACTACATAAAACCATCCAGTGATTGGACTGTGCCTCAGGAAGGGAGCTAATTCATCTTTTAATGTCAATGACTTTTTTTTCCCATCTTATCTGACCTGTCAAGAGCTCTCATCCTTTCACAGATTTCAATTTTTTCCTCAACGTCAAATAACCCTGGTACTTCTCCAGCATTCAGTAGACCATTGACGTCTTCTAGGAATGATTCTTGTTTTATCTATAAAAGAACAGAATACAACAACAGTTCAGATCTAAATGGAAGTAAAACTAATTTTGAAGGGTAAATAAAAAGTATATGAATGTGTGTAGTGTATGAAACAATGGTTCCTTTGAATATATGAATGAATTGAATATACTTTCCCAAAATATCTTTTTTAATAACTAATATGGAGAAAAAAAAATCATTCTTTTAAGGAACTCTCTTCAAGTATTATTTTTACCTTTACATCTGTCTCCATTGTAGCACCACAAGGCCAGATTGAGCCAAATGCTTAAGCCCTTTCTATTCATTATTAACATTAATATTAGCATATAAAAAAAAATTTTGATTTAACAATCTCATTTTAAAAAAATATCTCATATATCTACTATTTTAGAGATGGCCATTATTTAAATAATCAAACAAAGCCACTACAGGGACTTACTTGAGTGTCAGAAAACAGGAATACAGAAGCTGTTGAGGATTCTGTTGATTTTTTAAGAATTCTTTTAAGGTCATCCCGCCACTCGATTGACGAGTAGCTTTTGGAAATTTCAACCTGTGAATGAGAAGGGAACTGAGAGACAAGGAACTGAGAGACAAGGAACTCAGAGTAAACAAAAACTGTGGAACCTCCCTCAACAAGTTACAGCATGAATGAAGAAAACTAGTGTTTTTATAGTACACTTAAAGACCGGTCAATGATTGTCAATTACTCAAAGCAAATGTACAAGTTACTGGTCAAAGATAGTCAATTACTCAAGGCGAATGCTCCTCAATTTCACCCATCTAATGCCTACAGCACCCAAAGGTTTTTTCTGAAGTTAAACTGACCTGAAAAAGTTCATAATCTGATATGTAGGCAGCTAGCCTGGTCAGAGACTGTCGACCAGACCCCCCAACTCCAACAAGTAGAGCGTGACTGGACGGTTGTTTCAGGATTCTGGAGATTCTTGAAACATGCTCAATAGCAAATCTAAGGATTAGTAAATGGCAGATTTTATCAAATGATAGTTTTGACATGCCATAAAATATGGCTGAATAGTATCGGTGTATATCTGAAATCATTTGATAATGACATGAAGTTAAAAAAAAACTAGATTATAGATTAAAAAGAAAATTTTACTAAAAAGCAATAACATATTAGTTAAGCACAATGCAAAATTGACTCAATGATATTTTAGATAAGCACATTGCAAAATTGGTTCAATGATATTTTAGATAAGCACATTGCAAAATTGGTTCAATGATATTTTAGATAAGCACATTGCAAAATTGGTTCAATGATATTTTAGATAAGCACATTGCAAAATTGACTCAATGATATTTTAGATAAGCACATTGCAAAATTGGTTCAATGATATTTTAGATAAGCACATTGCAAAATTGGTTCAATGATATTTTAGATAAGCACATTGCAAAATTGACTCAATGATATTTTAGATAAGCACATTGCAAAATTGGTTCAATGATATTTTAGATAAGCACAATGCAAATGGACTATTTTTTTGAAGCAAAGAAGAACATGAACTAATCTCAAAACATAAAGTACAAAGTTTAAACTACAATCAATGATAAGTGTGATCCCCTTAACTTGTCTTATGAGTTTTGTGTGAGATAGATAAATTAGTTGGTATTGTTCATCTTACAGACACCATATAACTGCCTCCAGCAGTCTCAGATTCAAGAGTTCAAAGCCCATGTAAACTTACCTGAAAAGAACCAGGTCCATAGGTTTCTTGCTCATCTGATTAAAGTCTGCCAGGAAAGCCATTAAGACTTTCTGGACGACATCCAAATCCCTGGCCTCTTGATACAATCTTTGATCCCCGGTGGGATCTGTAAAGTCAGAATAAATAAGAGATCGCATATTGTCCTCAGACACTCGGCCAACCTCTTCAGTGTCTAAGTGTGCAAACAGCTTGTCAAAGTCCTCTTTTAAAACAGAGAAGATGACTTCACGACCACAGTTGTACAGCCAGGTTCTATCGTCGTCATCAATCAGTCGGTCGCTAAATACACGATTAACCTTGAAAAAAATCATAAACAAAGACACGATCATTGACCTGATATGTTTAAGTGCAAATAAAACTTATGAACTGGACATTTAAGGTGAACATCCTGTTGACTTGAGACCATGCGCTTTGATAGAAGGTGAGCAAACAATGCTGACAACAGGAATTATTTTATTATCTGCTTGTATTTTGACTTTGTGTAGCCTAGAGAGTTTCACTGTCAAGTAACTCAACAGCTCAAAATCAAATTACATCTCTTCAATATCCAAAAGTTTTGCAAGCACTGCTATAATTTATTTACTTCACAACCATTCAAATGACAATTAGGACCATCTAGACCCACTGAACAAAAAAATTATTTTCTTCACATTTGGATGATTTTGTCACATCTCTCTTAAAGGCTATGGTCTATGTTTCCGTTCCATTTAAAGTATTTGAAAAATGCAACAAAAATTTCAAAGAGAGTTTTCTTCTATTGATAATTACCTCATGTAACCAGAGTCGTTTAATAGACTCCACATCAGGGGCTGTTACCGGTGTAGACAAGAGGATTCCTTGTATGACACGACTGAAATCTCTCAAGTTGAATAAGTAGTGACTCTTGGCAGGGGTGGGCAACAGGTTATACATGGCTTGCTGGTAAACTTTCAATGTGCCGCTCACAACTTGAGGAATGCAAACAAACATGGATTCTGGGAATTCCCTGTGGAATAAAGTGGAATGTCACATTCTATATAACTAATAATCATATTGTGCACAATTAGTTACCAACAAAATCCCATGCTCCTGCTTTACATGTTCCATTGAAATAACAACCAGCTTGGAAAAATGTAGTACAGTTACTATTACTATGAATGTTAACAAAGAATTTGTAGTCTTAAAACTATGCAAATCAACTAGTTGTTGATGGACTTCTCTTCTAAACAATTGAAATAATGAACATTTTTGTCCTAACCTAGCAAATTTTTTAAATCAAGGCCTTCACCTTCTTGTTACAGGAAAATAAATAAGTTATGATAGAAATAAGACAAATGCTGCGCCATGTCATTTGAGCAATGGAACCTTCCAATAACTTGGTTAAAACATAGTAATAAAGAGAGACAAACATTGACCAAAGAAACAAAAATAAACCACAAGTTGGATGCAACAGTAAAGTGCCATAATGAAAAAAGGTATGAGAGACAAATACAGATATTTATACAAGAATAGCCGCATTTAAAGAGAATTGACTGACATTTTCCCCCCCCCCCCCTTTTTTTCATTTCCCGTGCATTTCTTGAATAAATGAAAATGATGAGGGACTTACGGAGTTTTGAAATGCCATTGTAAAAAGGTATGAGAGACAAATACAGATATTTATACAAGAATAGCCGCATTTAAAGAGAATTGACTTACATTTTCCCCCCCCCCTCCCTTTTTTTCATTTCCCGTGCATTTCTTGAATAAATGAAAATGATGAGGGACTTACTGAGTTTTGAAATGCCATTGCAGTATTTGTGAGAATATTGTTATCATTGCTTCGTCATCAAACACATTAATTGCAATGTTGTTGAGGTGTCTTATAAATCTTGGAGTGATAAAATTTCTTCCACCACCTTGGAGCGCATTAAATGTCTATGTTAAATATTTACAAAAGTGTGTTCCACCTTTTTAATCTATCCATTTGATGAAACATTTGAAAAGTGTGGAGATTTGAGGAAGACTACGGTAAAATATATCATAATAGAACTTTACAAGAATCAGATTTAACATAAACATCAATGAAGGGTAAATAACTCAAGCAACATCCTCCAAGAGGCAGCTCTTATCTAGACAATGTCCCAACAATGATTTGATTGAGACAAGTCCACAGCAAAAATAGAGTAAATAGAACTGTGTAAAAATGAGATCACAGGCCAAAATTGTATCACACATTAAATCACATCTATATATCTATAGTGTTTTGCTTTGGCAGCCCTAATAAAACGAAAATTCTGCAACAGCTTATTAAACAAGCCCCTAAACTTATGGTAGCAGCATTTAATTTCTATTGAACATTGATGGACATTTCTTTTATAATTCAGCATCAATAATATTTTGAATTAATGAAATAATTTATAAGGATACTGAATTGAAGTGCATATTGATAAAATATTTGAAAACAACACATTGGGGGTCAATGAGGAGGTTGGTGGGTGGGGGGGGGTGGGGGGGGGTTGGTCCACACAACCTCAACCACTCACACTGTATGAACAAACTGTAACTGTACCCACCCGGTGGGCCCATGGCACCAATAAACTGGATGTCCACCAGCTTCATGGGACTGGTGTCCGTAAGGTCATACCAGTTCCAGTGATCCACCCACTGTCTCAAGAGTTCGATGGGAGGCTGGGCTCCCCACTGTTCCGGCATGGGCATGTTCAGATCATCAACAAACACCAGCTGTAAGGGGAGGTAATCGGTGACAGGCAAGATTGTGACATTCTAGGGCTTACTCTACAATAATTCTATCAACGAATTGCCTAAATATGATTCCCTTATTTAGGACATACTATTTGTGTTGACTCGTTCATTTACTCATTTATTACATTTCCTCCAGGATCATGCAAGTCTTATCCATGCTAATTAGACAGCTAAGCTTTTATAAATTTTTAAACATGCCTTAAAAATAGCAATGCACAGTCCCATGTGATAATATAGACCTTGTATTTAAAAGTTTATCATTTGTTTACTTACAGCTCTTTTACCGGGTGGGGGTCCGTAGACCCCTTTCCTTCTTTTGTCTAGTTTGGACATTATCATATTTTGGGTTTGTGTAGAACTGGTCTGGGCAGAAAAATTCAGGATATTTGGTTTGTAGATGTTCTTGTCTAACTTCTTCAGTAGAAAATCCTGTTACAAAAAGACAAATATGTCCATGAAATTCATATCTTCCTAATGGGCAAAAAATGTCAATGAATGTTGTCTTTATCATTAATCTTTTTTTAGGGGGGATATTGGTTAAAATGCCACTTTTTTCAGAATTGTTTTGGTGGGATATGGTTTGAGGGGGGGGGGGGGGGGGTTGGATGGGGTGAGGCCATATTTTGCAGGAAGTTTGCCTTAAACATGAAATTTCAACAAACATTTTTGAATATATTAGTCCCCATTGGAATCTAGATTATTTTCTCCTGCCATGGTTTCACAGTAAACACTAGCTCACATTTCCTTAGTTTATCATTAGAATTTCTCAAGACACTAAAAAATTATGAGTCATTCATTACTGTCTAAAAAAGTTTGCCCAGTACAGATTTTAGAGCCTTGACCATACTGTCCCTAAACAATGGAATTTTCCAAACACATCTGCAATATACCGAACATCACAGCCTTCAAAACTGCACTCAAAACACATCTCTTTAATCTCTACAATCCTAAATCATAAAATCTTAATGAACAGATTTCCACAACAAATATTGTGAATTCTGTCCATGTTACACGTCTACAATTAAAAACTTTTCAATAAACAAAATGATGATTACTAAGTTGCTACAAACACAGTCACATGTTATAAAGCCCTCAGATAAGCCTGATGTTAAACAGATATTATGTCCAAACATAAAACTAATTTCTGTCCTTCCACTCACGGTGATATAAACACTCTTGCCGGTCCCTGTCGGGCCAATAATCAGGTAATGGTTGTCATGTAAAGTCAACATTTCCATAAGAGCTGTGTAGCGGACGGTGTCCACTGTTGGGACAATGATCTCATTAAAGGCTGCTTCGGACGATATCTCAGGCATTGCGGTTAGCTCTTCCGACCAATGTGCCCAGCGACCACAAATCTAAAAATACATGTGATAAATGGACTTATATTTTTTACATTCAAATTGAGGGATGTGAAATTAGTAGCAGCTTTGAATTCCTTATTTTGTTTAAGCTATTGACCAGTCTAAATTTTTCTAAGACACAATGTGAAAGCAGCACCTTCTTCTCTATGCCAGCCATATCCTTGTTGAGCAGCTCCATCAAGTCCTCTGTGAACAGATCCTCACTCTCTTCATCTCCTTTTTTCTTGTTTTTTGGTTTCTCAAATTTCTGGAACAGAAAATTCTCACAATTCACGGATAATGTTTTAAAGCTAAATTTATTTTCTAAAAATATGTTAAGAGTTTTTGTAAAGATTATGTTTTACTTCCTATAGCCATTTGTGTATAGATAAAATTACTTATCTGCATTCAATACTAGCTAAAAAGTGATTTTAACACAAATATAGCTTTGTTTAATTTTATTGCAGAGTGTAAAGGAAGTATAATTTTTTTACCAGTGACTGAGACAGTAAATATATTATTATTATTTCTTTAAATCCAACTTGTAAAACTGGCATAATATAATTTTAACTTTTTTAATTATTAGATATTCAGTAGAATTATAAGTTATTAAAAAAAAAAAAGAGTAATCTAATTTTGTTTATGTTAAAGATAATTCTGACCTCCTTTAAAAACTGATAGTCATAGATAGTTCCTTCAGGCGGGAAAGGCAGCATGTAAGGTGTTTCTAATGCAGGGACATTGCTCACAAAACCGAGAGCCCCTCTTGTGCTTTCTGCCAGAGGTCCCTATACAAGAAAAAGATTTTTATCAAAATTACATTGAACAGAAATGCAGCGGTTAAAATAAAGACTGTAGAGTCAGAGCTGGACTTGGAGTAATAAAAAAAAAAAACCTTCTACTGCAGTTTATTTATTGTAGAATGTAATTGTGAAGGTTCTTTAAGTCTTACATCACATTTCAAAATGACTGTATACTCAACTTTTTCAAGTAAAATGCTATTGAGACAAATTACTTAAATTCTTCAGATTTGATCAAATTTTCAAGTGAGTATCATTACCCACCCACCCCATATCACCCCCCACCCCAAACCCCCTCCAGCAATTTACAGGTAGGTAAATCTTTCCTTTCTGCTTCTCCTTTCTTCCTTGGTTTTAGTTTGTCATAGTGGCCAAGGCAAAGAAAAACGTCATGAACGTCCAGATACTTGAGAGATACTTTGAAAATCTAAGACAACTCTGGACTCACTTTAATCAACTCTTTAACCAAAGAATCAAAGCGCAATCTTCCCGACTGATCACAGGTGGCTGCGATGGACCAGGTAAAGGAGAACAGAAATATGCACTGTGGAATGTCATGCATTATTTGAATTCAGAAATCAGTTAGCCTAGCCAAATAGTGTACTATTCCCAAGCTAACATTAATCCACTGACCTCTGACATTTAACAACACTTTTTTTTTAAAGTAATAAATTGCAATAGGCCTATCCATAACAAACATGGTGAGACAATAGATAACCACACACAGAAAAGGACTTCTAGCTTCATATTCTTACAAATCAAAATGCCTATAAAACATAACTCTATCATTACAGAAACATAAGACTATGAACACCTCTAACCTCATGACTATGAAATTCTAAAACCACATGAAAATAAAATACCTCGAATAACATGAGAATATTTCCAGCAACATAACAATAAAATACATCCAGTCACATGACAACAATATACATCTAACAACATGACAATATACATCCAGCCACATAGAGACACATATATACCTCCAGCCACATGACAATAATATACATCAAGCCACATGACAACATACATCGAGCCACATGACAATCTCCCTCTCATCAAGCCACATGACAAATCTATACTTCCAGCCACATGACAACACTATACCTCCAGCCACATGACAATCCCCCTCTCATCCAGCCACATGACAACATACATCAAACCACATGACAACTTACATCAAGCCACATGACAACCTCCCTCTCATCAAGCCACATGACAACTCTATACTTCCAGCCACATGACAACACTATACCTCCATCACATGACAACACTATACCTCCGCACCATGACAACACTATACCTCCACATCATGACAACACTAAACCTCCAGCCACATGACAACACTATACCTCCAGCCACATGACAATCCCCCTCTCATCCAGCCACATGACAACATACATCCAGCCACATGACAACATACATCGAGCCACATGACAATCTCCCTCTCATCAAGCCACATGACAAATCTATACTTCCAGCCACATGACAACACTATACCTCCAGCCACATGACAATCCCCCTCTCATCCAGCCACATGACAACATACATCAAACCACATGACAACTTACATCAAGCCACA